CTTCCACTTTATTGTCGCATTATCCTTTTAGTTTGGTAATCAATATTTTATCATTAAACGTGACAAGTACTATGTACATTATTCTCCAACACATAAAATACAGTCCAAAAAATAATTAATCAGAAAGATTAGTACTCTTGGAAGTTGGAGCCCTCTTTGATTAACCGTTAAACTATCACTTTAGCATAATAAACCCCTTGTCATTACTTTGGTTTCGTTTTTTATATATGTACGTTTACTAGATTTCTCGTTTCTCCAACTTAATTTAGTTTGTTTTCTTGTTTTCTATATTTTAACATGGCACAATTATTAATCCACAAGGTCATGTCAGAAAGTAATATTGCAACCCCTAAACATGAAGAAAGAACTCTAGACTAAAATATGGTATAGTGAAACTTTGGCACATTGTGTTCTAAGAGTCAACAATGAGTGAATACTATTTCATATTGCTATTGAACCTAATGTGAACTATTTTCTTTGTCTCGTGAAGTTTTTATATTTCACTGAAACAACGAAATAACAAGATAAAAATACCCAGTATGATTTGTGAAAACTACAAATTAAACAATTAATTAATGAATTTTGTTTTACTAATTTACGACATTTAAATTGGTTAAAATCATAAATGAATTTACAATCACTACATTCAAAGAAGACTACATAATTTTTTCTTTCAAATGACTAATACTTTTAATTAATTTCTTAGAGAATAAATAACATGAAAAATAGTTGAAAGATTATATTTTAGATTATTTTAACATAAGGATTAATAAAATAATATAAAACAAAAGTTTAAGATTAAATTGAAGGAAAGTTTTAATTAACTTAAACTAAATTAAAGTAGTATTTTTATTTGTAACACACGGATTAATCAAGTTAAAGTAAAGATCCAAACCAAAGGTCTTTAATTCAGTTTGGTCGTTTAAATTAAAACTCACTGGTCAACATAAACAAGAAGTCTCACTCTATTTAGCAAAAAAAAACCGACTAATCTCGAGAGAGACGTGTGACAGTTATTGGCGATGGCAAATGCGATAACTAAGACAACATATACAGACACTCTTCTCCTGGAGTTCCCTCACCATCGCCTTTTCACTAATTTGTATATCCAAAATATGGCCAAAGTTGCTGTTCCCTTGCGTTGGAGCCGTGTCCAGGTTTGTGAAAATTAAATAGATTCTTGATTTTTGTTAAACATCGTCTTTTGGTCACCTAAGCCATGTGAATATAGTTTCTTATGAACACGTGGTATTATATATTTTTTTCTGGTTTTATAGGTTCAAGGATCAATAAGTTTGTCAAATGGTGGAGAATTGAACTTTGGTCTTCCTCGTTATGCTTTTTCTGAATTTGAATTGTTTGCAGAGGAACTCTTGATGAGCAATTCTGCTATCAAGGTAAAAAACACACATGACTTTTGAATATTTGTTCAGTTTCTTAAAAAATTCTTACATGTACTATGTGGGTTTCTAACTCTCTGTGCTATATATCTCAGGTGTTTGGGGCTTTACGAATGAATGTCAAGGTGTTCTTGATGTTGAAGTCAAGAATGTTTATTGATGGTGGTGGTGTTACAATTTTGGGAACTTCAATGCTAGATATTAGCAACTTGTTAGTGCTCAAGGTATTTTAATACTAATATTTTATAATTTGTTCTTCATCTGTCTGCTGAATCATATACAACCTTGATGTTCTACTATGTGTTATTTCTTTCATACAGGAGTCATCAGTGATACAATCCAATGGAAACCTTGGAGTACATGGGCAGGGTCTGTTAAATCTAACAGGCACAGGAGATACAATAGAAGCACAGCGTCTAATTTTGTCTCTCTTTTATAGCATTCAGGTAAGAAAAATAAACTGGATCATATTTTTGTATGCTTGTGGACTTTGTTACCTATTGTGGGCAGTTACATGTATTCTGACTAGGTAAAGGGTTGAAGCTTTCACTAATGATTCTCTGAACTTATAGTGGATTAACTATTATGTGGTTCCCTTGCTAACAGCTACTCTTATTATTTGTGAAGGTTGGAGCTGGAGCGGTTTTGCGTGGTCCTTTTCAGAATGCATCAACTGGTGGCCTGTAAGTTCCGAGAAGGTTCGGATGATCCTTCTACAAAAGTCCTATATCTTGTATTACATTTTGCTTTGTTGTACTGAGACTGTAGAAACTATTATTATGTTTGGTTTATGTTTGTATTGTGTTATGAACTTATATGTTGTAAACAGTGGTTCGGTCCTGGTTTACAAACAAGGATCACTAAATACGAAATGGATTGAGTTTAGGTACATATACAATGTAGTCTTTTGTGGCAGCTCTTCTAAACAATTAAAAAAAAACATAGATGATGTAACAAGGACCAGAGGTGAGAATGAATCTCTTCAGCCAAACAAGACGGAGACGCATATGAAAGATACATCCATATAGAACATCAACCACCATTGTGAATATATAAAAGAAGCTGATTAACACAACTCCTCAGTGGATAGAGAGTAGATTACCTACACAAAAGTCACTCTTTGTTTACAGTCAATTTCATATGAAAATACAGAAAGACAAATATATTTATGGAGCTCTGGTGAAGGGTGATTTGGACAGAAATATTATTCACCATCTGCATGAACAAGAAATCTTTTACCATTTAGGTGAAAAAAAAGAAACGCTTCACTATTCACGTGGACATGAAATCTTTCATCATTTACATATACTAGTGATGCTCTTCATTTTTCTCCAATGCCCTCTCTTCATAGATCCATCAGCCTGTTGTAAAATCCTCACCGAATACACATGAGAATTTTCATATACGTTTTTATTTTTAATTATGGTGACTTTAAGTGGAATGGCTTTGCTTTTTTAATTATGGTGACTTTAAGTGGAATGGCTTTGCTTTGTGTACTTTGTTTGAGTTATGTCGAAGTCTTCCTTAAAGTTCTGAATACAACATCGGGTAGTTACGATTCCACAATCAAAAGACCTCCTAAGAGGTTCATATAAAATATCCCATTTGCGGTGCTTGGATTGCATGCATGCATATCATTTAAAGGAATTTAAGCCTACATTTTGGTAAATTGTCCAATAATAGTGAATTAATGCACTTGTATGTATATAACCGGCTTCGTAGTCTGGTGGTAAAGGAACCTCGGCTGAGGTGCCCGCCATCCGACTTCGAACCCCGGCCACCACATAATTTACATGCGGAGTTGGTGTGGCGCTCCAGATCACTTAGCGTAACCAAGGGCCCTTAAGTGGACGCTTAAAAATCCTGTCATGGCATGGGCTTAGGCCCGGTGGGCTAGTCGATCACGCTTAGTGGTCGGATACTGGGTTATCAAAAAAAAATGCACTTGTATGAATTCTTTGGGAAACATTAAAAAATAATCTAATAATCAATAAGGATGAGTTGATTCTTTAAATAAACAAAATAATCTATATATGGACCACTTACTCAATGGATCTCGATGCTTATTATGAGTAATCTAGCTATAGTGGACGTTTATTTAAATTAGTATTTTATGGGTATTTTGCGACTTAAACGTGAAACTAAATAAGCCACCTTAATACTATGTGGTGAATAATGCATAAGGAGAGGTTTTTTTTTTTTTTTTTTTTTTTTTGAAACTGCATAAGGAGAGGTAGTCTAACCCTTTTCCTATACGATAACCAGACAAATAATATATCTATCAAGCTACAATATTTAACGTTGGCTAAGAGATGTCTATATATATATACATTATGTACACTAGATTTCTCCCACTTGCTGGTTAGGTTTGCATGATAACGCATGTGACGAGCACGTCAATCTATGTTCCATTTTCCATTATTTAAGGCAATGATACTTACATACTACTTTTGTGCTGGGCAAATTTGTATTTGTCCCTTTATTTTACAGACTAAAATTAAAGCAGCATATTTCCTCGAATATTGTCAGAATGTAAAACGTGAAAGAAGATAAAATTTGGGGAATAATAACCCATTTCTCAAAATGTGTGAATATCCGCCTTGGATCTCGGTGTTTTGGGTGAATAATGTTACTGTTTAATTAAATTTGGATACAAAATAGACACTCATCTCAGCCAGCATCGTTAGCAAATACAAATTTGAGTTTCTGACATGTCTCACCTTCCACATATAATGGATCCGGTTTATAAAATTATTAAAGGTTCATTCTGAATATAATTATAAACTGAAATGTATATAGATCTTCTTTGTAACCAAGATGATATCTACAAAAGAAACATACACGTGTATGTGTGGAGTACTTTATACAAAACAACAACGGAAGAGAAAAGTAGTAACAACTATTTGGATTTATCCATTTTGGATATTGATTGTTTCAATTAATTTCATGACTTAAAATATATAAAGTGGAAATTAACAAGTTGATACCTTAATCATAGTTAAAAAAACTTGATGATTTCTTAACTCATTTTTACCCTTTCGAATAGGTCTGGGCGTTTGGTAGCTCAATCAGTTTCGGTCCGGATGATTCAGATTTTCAGTGTTATATTGATAAGTATCATTTAGTTTTTATAAATTACCGGATCGAATTCGGTTCAGATCGGATCTAACCAATATTTAAAATTGTTCAAAAATATATTTTTTAAAACCTTGAAAATTGACAAAAAAAATTCAAAATATATAAATAATTTACAAATCTTATTAAAAATTAGTTAAACAATTTAAAAGTATTCAAATAAAACAAACTACAAAAATATTTTGAATACTCTAAAATATCTAAATCAACTTAACATATTTAACTAATTTCGGATATATTCAGATCCTAATTCAGATTTTGGTTTGGGTTGGGTTATAACCAAAGTTCAAAATAGTAAATTCATAATTCTCGTTCGGATATTTTTGTAAAACAGTTCTATTTCGGTTTTTGTGGTTTGTGTTAAAGATCAGTACTTCGAGTTGAGGTAAAAACGCCCAAACCTACTGTCGAATGTCTATTAATCATTTTGTGAATTTCTTTTTTCACTAGTCTTCTATTTTGAACGCAAAAATAAAACTTTATTAAAATATATTAGTACTATTCTGCAAGAAATGAAAACAAATAAAACGTTAAAAGTAATAAAAAAAACTATGAAGAACTTATTCTTCTGAATATATCCACGTGGAAATACAGAATCAGATCAAGTGTCTAAACTCATGAGCCACGTGGTTATTACCATTACGGATCAAGAACTCCTCACCGTTCGATCTAACATCCATCAAGACATTCTCACACCGAAGCTGACTCAGCAAACGCTCATCTCTCATCTCCTTCTGTCTCCTCAGCTCCATCACTTTCCGGTGAGAGTTAGAGTGTCTCGCCATCACAAACGTCGGACTCGAAGCCGGTCTATACTCCGGCACTAACCTTCCCGATTTGTACCGTACGCCGCACGCATTGCACAACGTCTTTGGTCCCATTGGTCCCGTCCGCCACTGTGGCGTCTTATCCGTCGCACAGTGCATACACCGTCTCTCCCCTCCGGCGTCGCCGTCAGTGTCTCCGGAGACGTCGTGTTTCTTCTTTGGAAAGGGCTCGTCGGAGCCGGGGGTGGATAAAAGACGGGAGGCCCACGTGGAGGCTGCTGAGCGTGAGCGTTTGCTTCTTGCTTTGGCGGGAAAGGGAACGTTGGAGTCGTCTGTGTCGGTTAGGATAAAGATTTGATCCAACTCCGGTTCGGGTTCCGGTTCTGGTTTGGTTTGGGGTAAACCGGTGGTTTGAGGTTTGTTTAAGGCGCCGGAGAGTAAGTGGAGTTTGTCTTGGTCTTCTTTTGAGAATGATTCTTCTTCCACGAAGTTTGATAGCCATTCTAGTTCAGCTAAATCCTCACACTAATTAGTGAAGTGATCATCAAAAGAAAAAATGTTATTAATTTAGAAGTATAAATTTATTGCCTGCTTCAAAATTACTCTTAAGTCCTAATTATTAAGTAACTATAATTATAGAAAAATAACACAAATTTTCATATATTTTATCAAAATACTATGAAAGATAATGAATCAGAGTGACCTATATACAACTATTTACAAATTATTTTCCAAAAATTAACAAATCAACTGATAAGTGAAGTAATAATAAGAAATAAAAAATGTGTAATGAACTCAAAACTATAAATATATTGCCTGCTTCAATATCACTCAAAGTCCTAATTATTAACTATCTATAATCCTGAAAAATAAACTAAAACATTTATTTTATATCAAAATATCATGAAAGATAATGAATTAGTGTGACATATTTTTACATATTCATTATCATTTTCCAAAAAATAACAAATAAATATGGTAAAGGTAATCCCATTTGGCGTGACGGAAACTTACCGGAACACAGAGGTCGTCGGAAAACGCACTACCGTCGGTGTGAAACGACGAGGAGTTGGAGCTATCGGCGAGAGTACCGGCGGAGACGGTGGAAGAGTCAGGAAAGGCTTCAAATCCGTCGTCAGGTTGGCCGTTGTCGTTAGAAAAATCAAGAAGGTCATCAACAACGAAAGAGTCAGTGTTACCGGTGACAAGGAGGAGCTCCGGAGTTAGTTGTTGTTGTTGTTCCATTGGTTATTACTGTAAATAAATGAAAGAGGAAAAAAAGAAAGTGAGAGAGGCTTTTTTTGGTGGGGAAGAAAGTAACGGAGAGGAAGAGAAGGAGAGGGTCCTATTCTTGGGAGGTTGTGTAAAGGGAGAGTGATGTTAGAGAAAGGTATGGTTCATGTGAGATTAGAACGAGACAGAAGACAGCTAAATCAGAGGAACTTTGACTATACTCTTCCTTTCTCTCTTTTTCTTTTGTTTTATTATTTAATAAAATCACAATAATTACTTTATATCTCTAGGGGACATTTGCTTAAACACAAGGGAGAGGTGAATATCAAAAACCAAATATTAATTTTATTATTTTAAACATTAATTATTACTGAACAAGAAGAAAACAAATCCCTTGAGTGATGGTGAAAAAAACTATGTTTGTTTTTGGTGTTGTTTACATCAGAAAACTAACAAAGCCCATGAGTTATGTTCTACACATGAGATGAATGTGATCTCTTAAACCACACCAACCAGAACTGAATCCTTGAAATTTTGGTTCATCATCAAACTAAAGTGATCTTAATCCTCCATCTAACATCACTCCTTATAGCTAGTCTCCACCTTGACCTTAGCTTTGGATCTCTATCGGGGATCTATACTATTATTTGCGAAATGATTTTTCGTAACGAAGCTCTCACGTTAAAAGTTGAAGTGGTTAATATCGTTTATACCCTTAATGAATAAAATACATAAATCATCCAAAATAAACATGAATTTAATACTTTTGATTAGATAAATTATTTAAATTAATAATAATGATAAGAATTATCCATAATCTAAATATATATTTAAAAGTAAAAAGATAATTCCTATATATATTGTGTTGTTATCTGGAAAATATGTTTTTAATAAAAAAATTCAAAAACAGAAAAACATAAATAAATATTCATAAAGTAAAATTTTAAACTATATATAATTCAAAAGAGAAAATTGAAAACATTATACTACATAATTATTTTCAAATTAAAACAAAAGATCATTCAAAAAGAAAAAAATACGTGTTTGACAAAATAAATTCAAATATATTGTATTACTATCCAAACTGATATTATTCTTTCTGTAAGAGTAATTTTTGAATGTATTTTTCGCAACGGAGCTCTCACGTTAAAAGTTGGAGTGGTTAATATCGTTTATACTCTTAATTAATAAAATATATAAATCATCCAAAAAACACGAATTTAATACTTTTGATTAGATAAATTATTTAAATTAATAATAATGATAAGAATTATCCATAATCTAAATATATATTTAAAACTAAAAAAAGATAATTCCTATATATATTGTGTTGTTATATGGAAAATATATTTTTAATAAAAAAAATTCAAAAACAGAAAAACATTAATAAATATTCATAAAGTAAAATTTTTAAATTGTATATAATTCAAAAGAGAAAATTGAAAACATTATACTAGGTAATTATTTTCAAATTAAATAAGAGATCATTCAAAAAGAAAGAAAATACGTGTTTGACAAAATAAATTCAAATATATAGTATTATTACCCAAACTATATTATTCTTTCTGTAAGATTAATTTTTGAATGTATTTTTTGCAACGGAGCTCTCACGTTAAAAGTTGGAGTGGTTAATATCGTTATATCCTTAATGAATAAAATATATAAATCATCCAAAAATAAACACAAATTTAATACTTTTGATTAGATAAATTATTTAAATTCATAATAATGATAAGAATTATCCATAATATAAATATATATTTAAAAGTAAAAAGATAATTCATATATATATTGTGTTGTTATCTGGAAAATATATTTTTAATAAAAACAATTCAAAAACATAAAAACATAAATAAATATTCATTAAGTAAAATTTTAAATTGTATATAATTCAAAAGAGAAAATTGAAAACATTATACTACGTAATTATTTTCAAATTAAAATAAAAGATCATTCAAAAAGAAAGAAAATACGTGTTTGACAAAATAAATTCAAATATATTGTATTATTATCCAAATTAATATTATTCTTTCTGTAAGATTAATTTTTGAATGTATATGTATTTAGATTTCTATATTTTTTATCAATTAAGAAAAAAATAAAATAGACTTTAGATTTTTCAAAGTTTTAAAGGAAAAAAATAGTTTTTTTTTTAATTTGTGAATAAATTTATCATGTAAAAATTTTTAATTTTTAGGTCAAATTTTTTGGATGCAAATAATCATTTATTTTGATGATTTTTGAATTGATTTAAAAATAATTAATAAAAAATGTAAAAAATATAATACGTAATTGTTTTCAAATTAAAATAAAAGATCATTTAAAAAGGAAGAAAATACGTATTTGACAAAATAAATTCAAATATATTGTATTATTATCCAAACTATTTTTTGTGTAAGATAAATTTTTGAATGAATATTTATCGAATCAATTTTTCAAATTGAAAGATAGATTTCTATACTTTTTTATCCATTAAGAAGAAATAAAATAGATTTTAGATTTTTCAAAGTTTTAAAGAAAAAAAATAGATTTTTTTTAGTTTGTGAATAATTTTATCATGAAAAAAGTTTGATCTTTTAAGCCAAATCTTTTCGATGCAAATAATCATTTATTTTGATGATTTTTTAAATTGATTTAAAGATAATTAAGCCCGCATGTGCGGACAAAACACCTAGTTAGAACTTACTCATAACTTAGTGGTACATGAACATGACATCAACATCACAACTTTGTCATTTTAGTAAGTGTAATGATGTAGTAAACTTAAACTCATATGTAATAGGTTTGCAAGTATGTCTACATAATCTCCAATCTATCACACAACTGTACATTAATGTGTTTAATGCGTTTACAGTGAACATTATTCTTCAATATGCACATGATACTTTTAAAATCAGACACGTATTTACTAGACTTCTAACTTTTGGCAGCCTTTTACACAATTTTTTTTAACTAGGTAGAGAATAGCAATATACTATGCTTTAGTAATGGAGAAAGCAACCACATGCTAAGATATCTACTTCCGACTTGTCCTGTTTTTATTGTAAAAACAAGAAACATAAATTGGATATTCTTTTGTCCAAGTTTTATGCTTAAGCAGCTTATGAATGGTTTAACCAGTCGTATTGACATGTAAAACAGCAACACATATTCTAGTTAGAATATTGTTACTAATCTCTGCTTTGCTTTCGGAAAATGAAAGGATAATGGACCTAGAGTTCATAACTATAACAAAAATTGTAAGCATAGCTTCACTGATATATCATAGTAATAGCCTTGAACCTTGAACCCTCTTTATTTGGACCATTGTGTTGGACTAAAATGTAATTTATGAAATATATACTAAAGCCGAAATCAACAAAGGGATTAGGTTATAACAGAGGCCCATAGTTAACAAATAAACAGAAGCCTAGTGGAACTGATCTTATAAAGTCTCTTTGGCATCATCCTGATTCCTGACGCTGAAACTGCTCGAGCCTCTTGATTTGGATCGTAGGCAGTTGCCCAAAGAGGCCCTTAACATGTATACTTACCATTTTTTTTTCTAAAATAACTTGTAAAAGGAAGTGTATCCACACAACAATAAAGTTAATGGATTTTTAGGTTCTCTTGGCAAAAAACTTTGAAACGTATGATTTGCGCCTAACAATATATGTTAAACATCAATTATAATTATACATAATTTTGGAAGTTACAACTTTTCTAACGAGGAAAATGGACTGGTTTGAGATCATTGCAGGACTTACCGCTGGTATTTACATTTCCAAACCAGGCTGGTTTAGACATGTTGGAGACGACGTTGGTGGTACTTCAAGATATCACTCTCGAGAAAATCTTCGTCAACAACGGGAAGAAGACCCTATCCTTCGTCTTCCCTCAGATCATGCAACGGGTACGCTATACATTTGAGATAAGCATAACAACGGGTACGAATTGTTGGAAAGACAAAACACTTTCCATACCAACAATTCTGTTTGTGTTACTTGCAATCCTTTTTGGTATGGAAAGTGTTTTGATTTACTTTCTAAATTAGAATATTGACTTCAACCCATCCTCAACGTGAACAAGAGGAAAATCATTCTCCAGTAGCGAATCTTTTTATTTTCTTTATAACTTAATTTGTCAACATGCATTACATAGTTAAATATATAAAAATAAGGTAATATATCTTTCTTTATGAAACAAAAAGAATATATATATATATATGAATATATATATATATATATATATGTATATGTATTTATAGAATATTTTTGTGTGGCTAACATTCTTTTAGAATATATTTCTCAGATACAATATTCTGTTATTATTTGAAAACCAGCTGTAATGAACGTAAGAATCAAGCTAATATGTAATGTACTAGACTATCAACATAATTTTTACACGAATGATTAATTTGTTGTTAGATTACCAACCAGAGTAATTCATAAAATACTACAAATCCATGAAAAAAATGAAGTTCATACAATCATAGATGAATAGAACGCACCAAATCAAATGTATCTTTATTTCATCTTCTTAACACGAAAACCACCAGCAAGATTTTACACGTTAAAAATAATGACATTTCTAATATATTATCATGAAAAACATAGAAATTTTTTTACAGATTCATTTCCATTTTACTCGCCATATGTTTAAGACAAAACTCCACGTAAGACTCAAGGTCTTCCTTCTTCCAACCATCAACAGGATCACACACAAACGACCACTCAATCCAACAAGCTTTTCCACCGTCCGTTTCATCTCCACCGTCCACTGGCACCACTTTGACCGTCGCCACGTAAGATCCGAACCCCACGTTATTCTCGAGGACCTCATAGCTCAAACACCGCCCCATGGGATCGATCTCGACCAAGCGCTCTTTAGCCCATTTGGTTTCCTCCTCGTCCTTTGTTTTGGTGGAGGCGCAGTATCGGACCAGACCCGTATGACCATCGGTTCCTTCAACTCTGCGACATGTGTCAATAGTTGGTAACCACTCATGGACGTTGCAGAAGTCAGAAACGACTGACCAGACTTGTTCCACCGTGACCCCGTTGACTTGGACGGCTTGTTTGCCCTCCCACTTAAGCGATACCGTTTCTTGCTCCATGTGATGTGACCGATCACTTTGATGATTGATTGGTGTAGTGCAATGTTTCTCGAGGAGTTTGGTATTTATTTATGCTCAAAGCCAAGGGTGTAAAAGGAGTAGACCTACCATTTTACCCTCAGTATTATTACCAACCAGTTACAGCCCAATAAACCTATAGGCCCAACACTAAGGTCCAGTACCAACGCATTATCCAAAGCCTTTTTTGTAACCTATATCGCAACCCAAAATCTCCACCTAGTGTGACTTTTTCTATTTCTTTGCTTCAATTTTGACTATTACTATGATTTATATAGGAGCTATTTGTATTGTTCCTCCTACTTTCTAAAAACTGTTATGATTCGTTGGACCATTAAAAATGTAAAGTAATTGTTGTATTATATTTTAGTTTATATTTCTTTCCAAATTAAAACTTTTCAAGCCCACTATCCGACACTGCAAAGATACTCCACTACGAGAAATCTATACAATTAAAACTGAAGTACAATTTTGAAATAACCCTGAATTTTCCTCAATAATTACAAGTGAATGCCATTAGCTTTAATACTTGGTTACCAGCGGAATTATAGTTCCATAATTAACCAAATTTAAACATGATTCTTAACCAATTATGTCTCGGTAAAGTATTGTCTACATAATCAATTATATCTATCCTAAATTCATTTAAATAGTTATATACGAATTGGGTACGTGATTCAAAACCAATTATATCTCAGGTTAGTGCTGTCAACAGAATTAAACTTTTCAATATTCAATTGACTTCTTTTGTAAAACGCATCACAAAAACGAGTAATTATATATCATGATTATCAGAGCAGGCAATTATACATCATCTATGATTAGTTTTAATAGATACAAGCAAATCGATTACATGTTCTGGTTTCTGTTTTTGTTACAACTTACACCTCTGTTTCTCGGGTTTTCTTCATAGTATTTACAAACCATTTTTTTAAGAACACTCTTATGTTTTAATTATATAAAAGTTATATCGAAAATGCTAAATTGGTTATTTATTTTTATAAGATATTTTTTGTCCACCAAATCTAAACTAATAAAATCTTCGCCCCTAACATTTAAAAAACCTTTCCTATTTTAAAGCAATAATTATAATCAATGTCTTAATTTTTCTTTTCTTAAAATAAAAAATCTAAATAAAGCAAATTTTGTTAATTAGTATCTTTATAAATTAATAAAATTTCAAATTCTCAATATTATTAATTTAGAAAGATTCTATTGTATATTAGATTGATTGTTCTTACGGGATTAATTACTCTTCCAATTGGTTCTATAGTTACTAGCGATTTGTTTTTCTTCTAAAAGCTATATAAACAACAATTTAAAATAAGTTCTAACTGACCTAATTTATATTTTATTTAATAAGCTTTTTAAATCTCAGTTTAGTTATATCATACACTTTATGTTTAGTTTATCAGGTAAAAAACACAATATAATTTAAGAAGAATACAACTCATAGTTTAAAAATGTACATTCAACAAAATAAACAAGATACATCAATTTATAATCTCAATCACATTAACCAATAACATGAATGTTTTTACAACATTCAAAAACATATTATTTCATTGAACATATACCCGCGCGGGCGCGCGGATCAAAAGCTAGTCAAAATTATAGTAGTAGCAAAGTAGGGATCCTATATTGTTTAGCCATCATTAGCTAACCCAAAGTCCACTGCAACCTTACAAATAAGTACTCAAAGTGAAACTATAACTAATCTTTTGTTAATTTAAATATAAAGGATAATCTTTTGGCCATTGGAAGTGCTTTCGAATCACTGAATAAATTCAATAAAACCTGCGTATTATCCGGCGTCCATATGAACTCACCAACCGCTGATTATGTGTGTCACTTTGATTTTTTTTTCAAATTATTTTCTTTGTCGCTAATACTTGTTTACTTCACCTAAATAGGCCATTACAAATTAGTGTTGCGTAAATACCAATAGGATATCATGGAAATGTCAAGGATATCAAACGGGTTACTCGGATACTCGAATGTCTTTTTTTGGATACTAGAATGTTAAATGTGTAAATGTTAATTATAATTATTTCTATAAAGATGTTCAAATTCAAAGTTTATATATATGGCATTTTCAAATACCACCAAGTTAGCACACATCTAACTCTGCTGATAATCAGAGCCGTCTCAAATAAATTTTAAATCTTGTTCAGAAAAAAATTAATATATATTTATGAATTAATGAAAATTATTTAAAAATAATAACTATGTTTGATGTTTCTTTAAATATTATAATTTCTAATCTAACAATATATTTAAGTTTTTAACGATATATTTATGATTTAATAAAAATTATTTAAAAATTAATAGTTATGTTTGATGTTTCTTTAAATATTATAATTTCTAATCTAGTAATATATCTAAGTTGTTTAAAAAATTATCATAATTTATCTATATATTTTTAAAAAGTTCTTCATTTTTTCTTTATTTTTTTAATTTTTATATTTGAAGTCTTGTTCGACTACTTCATTTATACATGCTATTAGACGGTCCTACTGATAATGAGCCAGTGCGAAACTAACTAAATGATCAAAGTGGATTATTAAATCTGATCCACGATCTACGTATTTAAAAGACAAAACTAAGTATAGGAAAACTAAAACACAAGGCTGAATGGGTTACTAAGACCATCAGCAATGGTGAAACTCTCGACTCGATAACCTAAATAAACTTTTTAATTATTTTATTATTATTATTTTTTTGTTCAGTTTAAAAAAAAAAAGAGTTAATCGCAGGTTCTTACGTGGCAAAGAGACCCACACACAATAATCCTTAATTAAGGATTATTTTAACACAAGATTCTTAAATTTTCAATATCTCACATATTATTATAATAGTTTAATGTTAAGGATTCTTGTTAAATATCATTGTTGTACATGCTCTAATACAACTATGAAGCAACACAACGTACTAGAGTTTGAACTACAAAGAGATCATGAACATAAATCGACGAGTAAATTTTATATATGAAAATAAGAAAATTATCATGTAAAAGAAAGTGATGGCCGACTATCGTCTATATAATCCTAATCTTAAAGAAACGATCATATCGGTTAGATAATCGTCCATGTAGCACACATATTTTGACGGTCCAAAGAACTTTTAAAATCAATCAAAATAATTAAATAGAGTACCGAAATTTTAGGAACAACCAAGATGGATCAACAAATGAGATATACATACACAATTTCTCTAAGTGACGAAATTAAATCGTATCCTCTTGCAGTAAGCATGATGCAAATAAAGTATGTGATAATGTAAATATATTTCATCTCTTAAAAGTATGTAAGATAAGCTTTAGCCTTGCTTGAGAAGGTGTTAAATTTTAAAATGTAAAAAGGGTTCTTTGTTTTTTTTTCCCAGCAGTCGGACCCGTTTTCTTTCGTTTTATACTTTTATCATATCCAATAGTCCAAAACCCACCAATTTCCTAAAACATTAAAATAAAAGAAAATTTGTAAAACCTAATGATGACAATTTTATGTTCGAATTATTAAGCACTCATTGCTAAACAAACTATCTAGGCCTAATTTTTGGTCGGATAATGTGATTTTTATATCTCCCCCTCATGTACACTTCTTATAGGCGTAATAATTATCTTGTTATTATTTTATAAAATATGATGAAAAGGGGTGTTTTGATACTCCATTATGTAGTACTGGAATCCGAACAAGTTAATAAGTGGTAAAGTTAAAAGAGGTCAAATTAATTATGTTACATGTTTAACTTTACGTGACGTTACTTTAGGGTTTATTGATAAGAGTCGACAGAAATATACTATTTACATCATTAGCACATCAAGTCAGGTAAAAGTGTTTAACCAAAAAAAATCAGGTAAAAGTGTCATCATTATTCATTTGTTCAAATATTTTACTTGATTCATGCAAAACATAGATTTCCACATTGTATTGGTTTTTGGTTAGGTAATTCACCTAAAGAAGGAAACATAAAAGTTGTTTTGGTCTATTTTTGTTATAGCAAACTTTTTTTGGACTCTATTCAGTTTTGTTATTTGGTTATTGCATTTTTACTTTCGAAACTATTCATTTTTACTAAATTTTGAGATTACAACATATCTGACAAATAAGTTTTGACTTTCCACGAGCCACAATAAATCTTTAACAAAATTAGTAATAATTAAAATTTCAGAAATTTTGACCTAAAATACTCAAATAATATAACAGTGTCGCCCGTCAAAGTATCTATACAAAATTGGGGAGCCCGAAACATCTAAGTAGGAAGACATTAAAATTATTCTTTTTCACGAAAAAAATTATTTATTTATATTCTAGATAAGATATTAACTCTTTCGACAAAGCAATCAAAATCACCTTTTCTGATTTAAAATTAAAAACAAAGCATGACCAATGGATCCCTACTCGTGTACACTTTTTGCATATGCGAACAACTTAGAGAGACTAATACAATTAGAAAACCAAAAAGAAAGAAACATGTAGTTTAATATATTTCTCGTTTCTTTATTTTTCTACCTGACAAATTTAAAGTAAAGACACAGAAAAAGAAAAGGTAACAAACTATTAAAATCCATAAAGGCAGACACGGGTTTAAATAAAATTTGCATAATGCTGCTGTTATCATTACACTATTTAAATATTGTTTTACTCCAATATGAGTTTATATTCTAAGTAATGCACCCGATGGCTAAATTAATCTTCAGTATCTGTCTTTTACCAGATATTTGCTACACTAGTCCAACATGTAAGATTTATGCATGAGCTACATAGAAGTGACAGTTTACGAGTTTAGCCATTTCCATTTTAATAAAATTCAAATCAGTTTCATATGTTTGATGTTTCTGTTTTGAAATATTAAAAAGTTCATATTTATCTCATCCGTTAATCATAGCACATGTGAATTCAAATATTCGGATTATAGTTTCTGCACCGTTAGATTTTTATTTATTTTACCCATGAGTATAATCCATTGATATCAATTATAAAATCTTTTAATGTAACAGGTTCGTAAGTTCTTGAACCCTGGACAAGACAACACAATATTTTCATGTAAGAAATATAAGTCACTATTTTCTGAAAGAACCCTAAACAATTTTGTTTATTAACAAAACCAATGCTATCAAACCGTAGTTACTTCAGAATTTTATAACCACAATCTATAAAGAATACATGGAGTTTCATTCTTAGATATCTTGAAACTACTAATAGTATTCTCTAGATTGCCTAGTTATTATGTTAAAAATATATAGTCTGAATTATATAAAGTTGTTTTTGTGTTTTCTTTCCACAATATCATGGTGGGAGACTCAAACTAGAGGAGTCCCTTTATTAGAATCAAGAACGTTTTTTGACGGTTGAGATAATAACTATTGGACCCATCGACTTCTTTTTTCCTATCTTGGTATAAATTTAAAATAAAACTCCTATAACATAATAAATATAAAGTTTCCGTTATATAAACACCATCATAAGTATCTTCATTAATCCCAGTTTTAGTTTCTTTAAATACCATCCCTCCAACCTTAAGTATACACACGAGATGGAGATTTGTTCAACAGTCACAACCAAGAAGCTCTCAAGACTCGCGAAGCTAATCCTCTTCACCATCCAGAAGGTCTCAGACGCCTCACGTCACAAACTCCTCACAACTCTCCACCCACAGCTACTCGCGAAACATGGCAAGACCCTACGAAAATCTCTAAACGACGCAGTATCAACTTCCCACTCACGCATCACGTGCCGTCCTTCCGACTACGAAGACATCCACTCTTCTTACATCTCACCTGTCCCTATCCAGCTGGACTACGAGTTCAGCTGCAGCAGCACCCCACCGAGACGTTCCTACGCCTCAACCACAACCGCACGACGCAGCGGTTCACGCAAACCGCTTATCAACAAACGCCAACGCAACGCGTATGTACGGTACAACACGCTCCCTAAGGTCAGAGATTGTGCCTGGGAGCGACACGTGGCGGCGGCCGTGTTTCCTGACGTAGCTAGCAGCTCGGGAACTATGGAAAGTGGACACGTGGACAGAGCAGCGGAGGAGTTTATACAGAGGTTTCATAGACAGCTGAGGTTGCAGAGGTGGATGATGGCTCAAGAGGTTTAAACACATTCGATTCATGGTTACTTTTTGTTACACCAAAATATATCAGTCATATCAGAAAATTACTATAATAGGTAACTTTGTAGTCTTGTTTTGACTTTCTAGTTTGGTATATATTTCCCTAGTTTTTTCGTTTTTTTTTTTTAATTTATGTTTTTGTGTAATTTTAATGAAACCATGATCGTGTTTTGGATCTGTTTGGATGAAATTGTAAGAAAATCGATTTTTGGAGTTTGAGAAAAGCTCTTTTGTGTGTGTAATATCAGCGCATATATATGAAAATATGTTTATATTTCATTACAAATTTAAGTATGATTGACGATTTAACCATCTAGTGAATATCAACGCTAAAAAGTTACTATAAACGTTCGAGTTACTGCGTTTACACACATGAATACATGATCTAAATACATGAGTTATTTAGATCGTTTTAATTGGTCCTTAACTCCTTGTTGTATGTTATGAAATATTGATAAACAACAGATTTGTTTAATATGTTTCGGATATACATAAACGACAAACTATGTAAGCCAAGTGATGTTGAAAATGATCCATATTGCTGTAGATCTGCCTAGCCTATAATAATATATACTCCGGTTGCATTGAAAATACACCAATGATAAACAACATAACTCTCTGCTAAGTCAATATATTGTAATAAGTTTGGTAGTCTAACAAGTCAAAAGTTACTGTAAAGCTTTCGCCAATTCTTCGGCAACGACGAAGTATGACATCTCTCTACCAAATCCCACTAAAAATCTAGAGGGTTGGATCTTTTAGAACTCTATACTTTGTTTTATCATAGTATAAAAGAGAAGGCGGAGGGAGAAAAACAATTGAGATGAAACAAAATAAGAACGTCAATGCAATTTTTTTTTTGTAACTGGTCAATGCAAACTTTTCTAAAGAAGAATTTGTATTAAAAAATTCTTTTCAATTACTTAACGTTTATGTGAGAAGTATATATTTGGAATATCTGATGATATAATAGTTCCATTTAGCTGGGTACTGGTCCTATATATTCATATTCAGCTATATGTTGTTTCAAATTGTGATGATTTTCTTTAAGAATATATAATATATTGGTTATATGATATTCAGATAGGGATAAATTTTCATATATATAGCTATAGATATTGACATTATTAAGCAAAGTGACCGTTGCTAAATGGAACATAATTAAGTAGCAATACATAATGTTTAACCATCTCTAACTAGATAGGTCGTCGTTGTTTATTATTCATGAAATCTTTGTCATGTTGTATTTTAGATATGTCTACAAAACAGGGAATGCGTTTTTGATGTATACTCCTCAAGAAGTGATTTGTCTTGCAAGAAATTAGAAGCATCAATGTTTTTAGATCCCTTTTATGAATCCATGTAAACTGTTTTATTTGTGTATCACCTTATAAAAGTGATGGTCGTCACTTTTACAGCATTCGTGTAACGAGACAAGGAATTGATGAGGACACCATGACCTAGACCATGAGTATTTAGAGTTCAGATTACACGCTAATCATCTGGTATTAGATGAGAAACCTTTTTGATTTTTGTTACTTTTGCCAGAGACCAAATTTGAACAAGATCCCCAAAAAGAAACAGGAAGGCATATTCTTATATATACATAAACCGCCAAACCGGTATATGAAAACATAATGACTCAAAGTCAAACCCCCACAGAAGTGCAGAACCAGACATCTAAATAAAAATAAAACAATGTCCAAAGCAGTCAAGAATAGAAAGAAAAAAGAAGTAAACGTTCTCCACGTTATGAATCACTTCATTTCTCTACATGTTGTCATGAGTGAGAAATATGTAAGATTTCAGATTCAATCTTCTATGAGGACTACTTCCATTAAAATGATAAGAATGAAGGTATATAAAAACTACGCTAATTAGAATGGTTTAGCAGGGAACTTTGCAGATGCAGACACAGCTGGTTTAGGAGGAAACTTGGGGTACACTTGCACAATCCTGTAATAGATCATTTGTGGTAGCAAAAAGTAAGAACAAGAACCAAACCAGACCCGGCTTGCATGTGCTCAGTTGCTTTTGCACAGGGTCTTCTCTTTATTTTTTTTCATTTTTCTTTAAGTCTTAATTTTTTTTTAAAAAAAATATCATATATAACAAGGTCCTAATTTTCAAAAAGTATAAGTAAAGTTTGAAATTTTTTTCCTTTGCACTAGGCCCATAACATATGTAAGCCGGGCCTGAACCAAACTCACTATAACTTTCTGTATGTAGATGTGAATCTTGAGCTCATCCTGATATGAGTGGAATGACCAACTACAGTCCGCAATCTTGAGATTCACCCTAATATTAGAAGTCGATGTATATTATTATTAGATGGTAAATGTATAATATCAATGTAAAAATATTAAGAACTTATCTAACCTGAACACCGATTTAACAGAGTTTCTGGTTTTATATCTCTATGTATCACAATTTTGCCATGGCAGTAGTTGAGAGACTTCGCCAACGATTCCATATTCTATAAAAATCGATAATATTTTAGGGAACTACATTATTATTATTTTGGTAAGAAGACATGTTTAACCAAAAAAAAACGAAGGTCGTTGTTAATAAAAGGTTATAGGATTTGTGTTGTGTCTCGTTGTCCGCAAACGTTTGCGATTGATTGTTATAGTATAATGTTTTTCTTACAATGAAAACCACAACATTTTTATACTATTATAAATTATTCTAGATCAACATAAAACGAGAAGAGCCTCTGTTTAGTGTTTACGTTGCACCTTGCAAAAGTATTTTACAAACATGAAAAAAAACTTTTTTTTGACATAAGATCAGAAAAAAAATTAGGGAAAACTTCACATATAACAGAAATGCAAAATATAGTGTTTCACCGACCAAAATCCTGATAAAGACTAAAGCTTAATTAATTGCCTAATAGTGGTATTTGTGTTTGATTGAGATAATTTAGTACCCCATATGTATTGGTTGTATTTATTAGTGTAAGTACCTTATGGTTTAAAAGTCAAAGTTTGCATTCTTTGTAAAAAATCAGAATACATGGCGTTTCAAAGCTGAGTGTAATAAAAACTACCATTTTCAAATAAATTTTTATTGATCTTGCAAGATTCTGAAAAACTGGAAGGTAAAAAAAAATACTCAAAACACTAACACTGCTGTCATTATTTCAGCCAAACCCAATAGTATACACACTTACATTTCATCATCTTTCTTGGAGATATCTCACGCAAATAAAAAAAACATAGAGAATCCCATGAAAAACTAACAAAAAAAAGGAAAAAAAATACGATTTAAATTTATTTTTCAGGGAAAATGTTTCCAAGAAAAGCTCTCTTCAAAACCTGAGTTCAGCGGAGAATCATCTGACCATGATGGCATGAACACCAAATCCTCCAACGAGTCAAAAAACACAAACTCATTTGACTCGTCTAAACTCGTTCCAAGACTCGGCAACTCAACTATGTTGTCCAAATCTTCCGAGACCATAATACTCTCCTCATCAACGCTCGTCACCGAAAACGAAGAAAACGACGCCGTTTCGCTACTCTCACTCTCCGTCCTTTTACTAAACGCCACCGTTTCGTTACTCTCACTCGTATCACTCTCAGCCCCCACGTGACAAAACGTAGTATTACCAAAGTCCATGAAAGCCGCTTTGGTGGCCGCAGCTCTGACGTCACGAGGGCTGAGCGAAGCAGGTCGAGGGAGAATATCTGAGAGCTCAGGGAAGTTGAGAATAGCTGAAGCTCCCTTGATGCTCAAAGCCGCCACGTCATGAGCACGCATGGCCATCTCAGCCGTGGGGAAAGTCCCGAGCCAGATCCTAGACTTCTTACGTGGCTCACGTATCTCAGATACCCATTTGCCCCAGCTTCTCATGCGGACACCACGATACACTGGCTGCTTACTACCTTGTTTCTTCTCCTTGTCGGAACCAAGTGATGTGTCTACCATTGTTAAATCTTTAAAAACCTTTATGATATCAAAATGTTCCAAGAAATGTAACAAAGAAGAGGACTAGAGATTTGGGTTGGTATAAAATACTATAGAGTATATAAATATATATGTTTAAGGCAAAAGGAGTGAGACATTGTTTGGTGTCGTGTAAGAATTAGAAAAGAGAGTTCTTGTTTGTATCATTATTTGGTGAAATTTCGACTCTAGTGTTTGGATGTTTGCAAGTCTCTCAATGATTTTCTCAGTGTTTAGTATTAACTCTTAACTTATATATAAGTAAGAGTGTTACAAAAAAAAAAAAAAAAAAAAAAGTGTTACAAAAAAAAATATAAGTATTTACATTCTCTCTCGTAAATACTTATATTTACATATAAGTCTAAGTTCAAAAAAAAAAAAATATATAAGTAAATACATATTTACATTCTCTCTCGTATATGTGTGGTTTGAAAGAGAGAGGGACCCATAAAGGCGTAGCTGCTTACCTACGAGAAAGGTTGGTGTGTTTTATTTTTGTTAGAAAGTTTAATTTATAACGCGAAACACGAGATGATGTTTTTCTTTTTATCTTTGGCTTTTCTTTTTGTGACGTGACGTCTTACATGTTTCTTTAGATTTGGTTTTGTATTCACCAAAAAGAGAAGAAGAAGAAGAAGCTCTGGTCTTCTTCGGTATACTTACTCTGCAGTTTGCACGACGTGTAATAGATTCGAAATTACGGTAAAGTACATAGTCACCAGTCTAGAAATAATTTGTTTTAAACATTTATGTCATCACTCCAAAACGTATTGTAAATGTAAATGAATTGGGTAGGACGTAATAACTTTTTAGCTTAAGTTAAGAAGTACTACTTCTGTGCATTAAATCACAACTTCTTGAGCCGTTGAATATGTTCCAAACATGAAAAAGCTTAAACAATGGATACACCAAAACATCATTATAATGTTACCACCAAACATTTGACCCAAAAAAAAACGTTACCACCAAACCTACGTGCTCGAACTATAGCATGAGAACACCTTATTCGAATTAGTGCGAATCACATCTTGGTCTGATCAGAACCACTAAATTACATATTGGTTGTTGACTAGAGAAGAATGTTGAATATTTTAATTATGATAATCTAAAACCACTAAAGGGGAATTGTTATTATGCAATGAATATAACATCATTGCTCCATATTTATTCAAAAGATTATATATTATGAAGTTGTCGTTTTCTATATTTCCATTGGTGGTGGGGTTGTAAAAGAGCCTTCGTATTTATAAAGTTGGTCCATTATAACATCATATCAATACTATTTGATTCAATAGTGTCGACAATATCAATTAGTGATAACGCGGTCTATCAAAGTTTTCTTGCTTCTATTGCTGATAAAAATGTATATGAGTTGTGTTTATCTAGCTTTATTTACAAGAATGTTTATTTATATGATACTTCTGTTCAAAATGTAAGAACTCCGAAGTATGGATGGAAGACTATATAGCCTTATGTTACATATAAATGAATAGGTACTATTGCTTATCAAATCCACAGAACTTTTGAACAAATTAGTTTATATGTCTTTGATGATTTAATGTTAAATGTCTCTGATGATTTCACTTACTTCTTAAAGCTCACCCTACTGCCAATACCGAAAATATTTGTTTTGTAAAAAAATTATTGTTTGGACATTACAGACTTAGTTACAGCCAAAACATGTTTGTTCTTACTTCAAGTTTTTGCCAGAACATAACCTTGGCTTCAGGTTTCCTTTTTTTTGTACCCATAGAGTTTGGTAGATAGAGTCACAGACGCATGTTGATTTTAACGACAATAAACTTCAATTTGTTTTTGGTTTAAGCCAACATGAACAGAGTCAAATATATTTTCAATAAGGTTTCCATAAGTTATAAGCAAGTGAAATATTTGTTCTAAAAAGTTCTAATGCTTTGAAGAAATAGTCATAAAGTAATAGTTTTTGTGATTTAATCAACGAATTTAATATTTTTAGGACCTAACGATATAGTTCTTCTGAGTTATTGTGCACACTCATTCACTGTAAAAATTGAAATTATTTATATTTTCACTATCATGACGGTTTATGTTTGATTTTAGACTAGGAGTGTTCTAATATTAAACCTTAACTGACTATTAAACTATGTAGAACATGAATAAACACTTTTTACCAAAACAAAACATGAATCAACACTCTAAATAGTACTCTTATCATTTTTGTTATAATTAATTTGCCCTCAAATAGCCTTTACTTATCAGTTATGTCTTTTTCCATTGACCCTTTTCTACTAATTTGTTATAGTCGTCCACAATACACACCCATTTTTTCTTAATTTTTTATTTGTCGGCGTCAACCTTTTTTTTTCCTTGCCTTCCACCCACTGAATCTGCATGAGCTGTAATCAGGTTTCAACGGCCCAAAGTATTAAATGCCACATTTAATGAATGATACAATCTACAATGAATAAAAAATATTAGTACTATAGTATTCCTCTGTTTCAATTTGTTTACATATTTTAGTTTTTTACATATATTAATAAAATATATAATAAATATATAGTTTTTAATGATTATTATTTTCGTATAAATCTAAACCAATAAAAATGCAATAAATACAATTATTTTTTTAAAAAAAATCAATATTAATTATTATTATTTAACAGAATATATCTTAAAAATGTATTTTTTTGAAAATAATTTTTTTTTCTGAAACATGTAACAAATTGAGACATAGGGAGTAAAAGAGAGAGAGTGACAAGTCGACAAATGTTGAAGAAGAAAAAAGTCGTACGGAGAAGATAATCATGCTGTCTTACTGTGATGCACTGTTCGTGTACGTGTATCCGACAACTCTTGGACCCGCTTTTTGACTACAATTTACGCTCAGTGAACCACGTGTCTCAACCACGACCAAACACAGTCTCACGTGGTTCAATTATCGCACCCTGCCACCATATTATAAAGTTTCATTCACAGATAAAGACATAAAGTACAATAGGACTAGTCGACACAAGAAAAAAGTACAAAATACACCAGTAAAAGTAAAACTAGTTAGAAAGATTGATTGTACGTACTCCTCACTGAGCTCTCTCATGACGTAACATAACACCCTAAACGTTCTATAGACCTCTGCATCCAGCCTCAATATCTATAGATCTTATCATCTTATTCTCGTCCTTGATTTGCAATTACACACAAAGTTTGATATCATTATTATTTTTTTTTTGAGAAAAGTTTGATATCATTTGTTACCAAGATCAAATCCAACTTTTGAACTCAACTTCACTCTCTATTATTCTCATACTTTGGGATATACACGTATGACGTATCGAATCAAGACTAACTGTAAGAACATCTTCAATCCATCTCCATTTTTTATTTTGAAATGAAGTAAAAATGATTATGAAGTAAAAAATGTTCTAATCCCACTTCATTTCTTATTCTATAATGAGATTTACTCCATAAATAGAATAATTTATTTATTTTTGTTCAGTACTTCATTATAAAGTTAGAAATAAAGTGGGACTGAAACGTTTTTAGTCCGTAGTCACTTTTACTCTGTTTTTTTTTTAAATGGAATTTTACATTAGAAAAGCTCAAAAAAAATTTTTTTTTTTGTAACTGGATTGTAAGACACGTTTGGAATTAGAAAATCCAAAGTTTTAGCTCACAATCTAATTGCAAAGATTTATCCCCCCAACCTTAACATACATACACAAAAAAAGTTATTGAGACGAGCTTATTAATATTGTTTTCTATTAGGACGAGCTTGCTTTAAAAACTGAAGATTATAAGTTTATAACCCAGCATAACTAAGATTACTCGATTATCTCACTGGCTAACTCAAAACCGATAATGTAGCCACAGTCCAATGTTTATTTTAAATATCATTCATGATCTATACACACTTGGTATATGTATCTTGGTGATCAATACATTAGGTGTATAAATAGCTTGCATTGTGTGGTCTTATTTTGAATAATTTGTGCAGATGAATCGATGATGACTACAAGCAATACGTAGTTGGTCCCGTTCTGGCCATTTAAAACATATGGTGATTCATATAATTATATTTTATTTTCTATGTAACCAAAGTAGGATTCTGGCTTTAACGTATGACACGAGACACACATGAGCGCATTTTAAAAAGTAGCTGCATATAATAGTCATACATATCTTTTAAGCCACTAATAACAATGAAAACTATGCCACTATGTTGTGTCCAAAGCAATGTTTGTCGTTCTCTTACAATCAAAGATTCTGCACGTTTATTTCGGTGTTTAGGGACATGAAGATCGTTCCTTTTCAACCGGCATCATGAAGGTTATGACTATATGTTTGTTTGGCATATACGATGAAGATAAATCAACATTCAAGCTACACAATAACCACAACAGAACTGAACCAGACGTATTGTTTAAAACTTGTTTTGTTGTTTCAGGAACACCCAAATGATGTGGGTGTAGTTTAAAGTCTTGCAAGTTTAGTCTGAATCAAAAGTCTAGATATTTTAGGTGACATTCTCAGGAAAATTAATGCCTCTCAAGTATATATTAAGAATCTAACGGCATAATTATCTTTAGAAACCCATTTGGAGTTCTATTTTTTTTTTTCTATCTCATAAAAAAAAAATTAAAAAGTGAACTAATTACGGATCGCCACGTGTAGTGAGATCCGTGAACAGTGCAAAAACATGTTTTTATTTGATTAAGTTTTGTAATCTGTTTCTTAAGTTTTTGGAGGGTCTCACACTCTAAAAAACCATTAAAGACCCCTAATAATTGTGTTCTAAAGACATGATTATTGCAAAGTTTCTTGTGAAAATTTCTTAGTTAAGAGATTTTCTGTCTCGTTTCCTGTAATGTCCTTAACACACAATTATATACGCATATATAATATATACATACACATATATGTGTATTAAGAAACAATCACAAGAAACTTGCAATAATGTTTCCCTAAGAACATGATTATAGAGATTTCTTAATGGATTTATACTGGCTTTTTCATCTTCTCGCTTTGGAGGCTCAAAAATAAGGGATCAGTTAGGTAAGCTTCCTTCCATGCTATTGGGGTCTACTGATCTCCCATCTTTTTAGTTTATCTTGCTCTATATATTTCATGTACCCATTATTGTACAATCTTTGTTCCAAGTGTTATAAAAAAGTAAAAAAAAAAGAAGTTTTTATTGCGTGGATCTCGTAAACAGTATAAAATCAGTTATAAAAACTATGAATTAAGAACCAATTCTTATTGGTTTTTTTGCAGGCATGACGACCCACAATTAATTCGGTTTTAAACATTTTTTTGAACAAAAAAATTAAAAAACCCAATTGGATTTTTAGTACTAATTATGCTCTAAGAAACGTAAACAAATTTTAAAGAGAGGTTGAACCTGTTATTTTTGGGTTTATATACCCAACTACCAATCCAATTCCCGGTTTAAATTTAAAGAACTAGGCATTTTAAGTAGATTTTACACTGACCAAAAGGACCCAAGAAACTAAACCATACATATACATACTGTATTAGTGAAGCTAGCAACAACAAATGTATTGATTCACTTGGCTTTCTATCAACAAAGAAATAGCTCACAGACCCGGTGGCTTGAAGAAAGGGACCAAACCAAAGACGGATTCAAGATCCAATGGGACTTGAAGAAACCGTTTGAGTAGCTCAGGTGTGTTGCTAGTATCTCCTTTCCATGTCCCAAACCACGGTCCTCCTCCTATCTCAACTGCTGCCATAGAGCTCTTTGCCTCCATTATTACCTGCATCATCGTTCAACATAATCCATAACCAAAATTTTGTAGTCTTCTTTAACTACAGTGATGCATTGTACACATACCTTGCCTTTACTTCCATCATATCGCCGTTCCCATATCTGCAACTTCAACTCACCGTAACAACTATCTCTGCAAGCTGTAGCTAAACCTGCTTCTGAGGTTGGAGCTCGCAGAGGTGTACCTGCCTCGTTTGTTCTTGCCTCTAGTTCCACCTGTCACAACACCATTCATCAGGTGTCAAAGTAAAACTGAATGAATATGAGGGTGAAAAAAAAAATATTACCAAATGGGTTTCATTCTCTGCAGTCATAAACCAATAACCCCATGGAGACATTTCCCAACTAACAACACCATTCCATGGAACAAACTCATACAATTTTCCATCATAGTGCACACAAACCTGCACAATGTACAAAAGGCTCAGAGATTTTTAAACTACTTTACATAGCATTGTGTCTTTAGACGATCTTAACTAGTGCATACCAATGCAGCATTTTCAAATGTCTCAGTTAATCCAGGTAACTGCCTCAACCCTCCAGCAGCTGTCAATGCAACTTCCCCTTTTGCCCCTTCAAAGACATTACACTGGACCTGTAAAGAGACACCAACTAATAAAGCTACTGAAAAAAACAATAAAATGTAGCACATGGATGAAAAGTGTGTTACCCAAAACCATTTTCTAGGGAAGCCTCCACCCCAATTCTTCTCTGAATAAGAAGGTGCATCCCTAAATTCAAACCTTTCACCACCCCATTCTATCCACCCTGCATATTCATGAGAAGTCAAAAGTAAAACTTAACTGTATCTTTTTACAAAATTTAGTTTAATTAAGCGAAGTTTAGACCTGTTGAAAGGCCTCCTGCCATGCATATCTGCCAATGAGGCTCAAACACAGGAAAAGCTGCTGGCCAGCCTGCAGTAGACTTCTGTTTGGCTCCAACATCACCCCAGCCGTAAACAGGACGGGTACTATACTCCCACCGAGCGGATTTCACAGTTTCAGCATAATCAGTTCTGCCAAAAAAACAAGTCAATTCAAAGCTAAACACATAAATTCCACAAAAAGAAACATAACATAGAGTTTGTATTATGCTAAACTATTCTCAACATCTGAGATATACTAATCATGCATCCCTTTATCTACGGTGAATGAAGCATTGCCATGAACTAACTGAAACAAGCTTGTGTAGGTGAGAGGTTTAATAAGAATGATGCAATAAGATACCAAAGTAAAATCTTTGTAGGTGTATAGAATTTAGATTAAATAACCTGCCATCATCACAAATGTGACCTTGATGCCAAAATGGGGTAGCTTGGAACCCTTCAGACACTCTTCTGTTAAACTCCTACAAATTAAACGCCATGTTTTACAGATGAACATGCTAAAAGTAGAACACTATCTCCACATAACAGAGTAACCAAATGAGGGAGAAGGGAGTGATTATTATTTATTTATTTTACCTCTGGTGGAACCTCCTTCTCTGGAGATCTTGCGCCTGGCATGGCATTGAATGTATTCCCTAAAACTAGCTCATGCCTATCTACACATTGAGTAAAAATATTTAGGCAAAGGAATCTATAAAGTCAATTAATATTATAAAAACAGTAACTAAGACTTATATATTATTCAAAGTCACAAACATCAATAACTAACATAACAAGTAGAATTAGAAACAAGACTCAGAGATTGACTTGGTAATTTAACAGAATCAAGAAAGGTTATTACTATTTACTACCTCCCCAGAAGTTGTGAGACTCCTCTGTATATTGGCATATATACTTATCCTTAGCTCCAAGAATCTGAGCTCCCACACCAGTGAACCTTGGTCCATACAAACCAACTTCCAACGGTGAGAGTCTCTTCCGAAAAGCAGGATTCTCCACAGAATACATGAAGCAAAAACTCTCCTTCTTCTCTGGAATCGAAACTCTAAAATACCATCCCTCAAAGAACTTCCTCGCTGTTCCATCGAAATGGTACCTGTTTTCCAGTAACCTTATCAGACATTACATAAAAATTCTGACTCTAATTAACTTCAATATTAAGCAGAGCATGAAGGAAGATAATATTCAAACTAAACCGAAAAAAACAACTAAACCAGAAACAGCTAGAGGGGAGATTAATTAATTTACCCGCTGTGAGGAGTCCTGAGGTCACGATTGGGTGGTGTGGGGATGTAAAGAGGTTTCACGGAGATAGCTTCGGTTTTAATTGCATTGCTGGAGGGAGATGTTTCACTGTTCGGTGTGGAGATGGACGCTGAAGAAGCCGTGGAGATGGAGCGGGGAGAGAGTTTAGTAGATCGGAGAGGAGAGAAAAAAGAGGAGAATTGAGTGTTCAACAATACAGCCATAACTGAAAGGTCAGATTTTTTCAGTAACCCGAAGAAGAAGAAGAAATGCAGAGGAAACGGAAATTTAATTTGGTGACTAACATGTAATGAAAGAAGATCATGCAGACAGGCAGAGGACACGTTGTAATAAGTGCTCATGTGGCAGACAACACACCAAAGAAAGCTAACAAGCTCGTGTGGCCCAGTGGGCCTTAAAAAATAAGAAAGACGGGTTTCTTATTGAAAATCAAAAATACGTCAACAGCAGGATTCGAACCTGCGCAGGCAAAGCCCAGCAGATTTCGAGTCTGTCTCCTTAACCACTCGGACATATTGACTTTCTGTTTTTCCAAATCATATTACAAATTCTTGTTTTTTGATGTTTACCAACTCGTATTTAATCTTGTAGACGGAATATTCAGTAGAATCTTGTAAACATCAATTTCAACATCTGATAAACGAAACTAATTCATATAGAGATTTACTGTCAATGGAAACAGTCAAACAAATGGATTAAACAATGTCACAAATCACAAATCGCTGAGTTCTCAACAAAAGATTTTATTACTCTACAAGTAATATACAAGTCCATTCCCACTCATAATCAACGGCAAATTTATAGTATAAGCAAGGAACAAGATAACATACATGTATGCATCTCCCAAGAGTGTCAAATCAATTGATGATCAAAGCTTAAGGAGTTAGCTTAGCAAAGACAATAAAGAGATGAATACTGAGAAATCATGAAATCAATTGGAGTTTTTTTTTCACATGGTACCAGCTCTTCCGGAAGTCGGTTTTGTACCAGGCTTGAATTTGGAGATGTCAACGAGATCCCCAAATAGCTTATCCTCTGGTTTATTCTTAGGTTTCATAGGAGGTAGATAAGACGATGATGATGGTGGTGGTGCCTGATGCGAACCCTGGTCTCTGATGGACATGCCATGCATCTGCTGGTCCAGATATGGGCTGCTTCCTTGTTGCTGCTGCTGTTGATTATAGCCATATCCATATCCTCCTCCCATCTGGTTTCCATAAGCCTGTTGTTGTTGTTGCTGTTGGGCGTAGTACTGAGCCATCATCATCTGCTGCTGTTGTTGTTGTTGGGGTGGATAGCCTTGTCCTAGAGCCTGATTGGCTTGGTTTGGCATTGGCTGTTGCATGTACATACCGGTTTGCGGCATTTGAGGATATGGACTGTTGTTGTTTTGGGGAATTTGAGGATATTGTTGGGTATGTGAGAAGGCAACTTGTGTTGGGTGCATTTGAGGAGAAAACGGACTTCCTGACTCTGCAGTGGGGCTGAAGTCTTGATGCTGAGCTTCCCATGGGGGAGGTGGAAACGCCATACTGTCTTGCGCACCTTCTATTCATTACAAAATTACCAAAAACAGAATAAATAAAGATTATATATGTGAGACGCACTTAAGCTAATTCTCTCGACTCCAAAAAAGTGATTTAAAGGCAGATATTACCATAAGATGGCTGTTGTGGTTGTTGCAAGTGCTGTGCAGGTTGACTATTCCAGGGAGAAGAGGCGCCTTGCCCGTATGAGGGCTCAAACTGAGAATAACTCGCTGGAGGAGCAAATCCATTGGGTTGTTGTAATCCAGCTTCTCCAGCTTGACTAGTTGGTGGTTGCTGGTGCAAATGAGGATTCAAAGGGCTACTCGGGAGAGCTGAATTACCAGTTGATGCAGTTGCAGGGGGTGGACTATTAGTATTGTCTCCGAACATATCAATAAGGGCAAGTGCATTTTGATCTGATGCGACTGGACTTGCCGGCTGAGGAGGTCCAACAGGAACAAGGGCAAGATCATCGCCACTGAGGAGGTCTATTTTGGAATTGGCTGTACCATTAGTTACTGGTGGTGCAGGCAGGGCCAACTGGTTTAGAATCCCGTTACCAGAGCTTGGTGTAGCTCTGCAAAAACGTTGGACGTCGACAAATCAGAAGCTATTTACTAAGACAAATTTTTTTACCTGGTCAAGTTTGGTCTTACGTACCCGTTGGCCTGATTACTGCTGTCTCCAGTATCAATAAGTGGGGCATCAACATCTACAAGAGATTTTCCTGTCTCAGACTTGGGCTTCTCGATTTGAACAGAAGTTCCAGGAATTCCAGAAGAGATTGCTTCATAACTGGTTAAGACCCGTTGTAAGTCATCATTCAACGCCAGACCTTGACTTAACAAAGACTCGTCCCTGGATAACAAAATTGTGAGGTAAAGAAGATTACAAAGAAAGCTACGCTTTAACGAACAAGAAAAGAAAAGTATATGTAACTAGAGAGGAGAAGAAAGAGCTCTTACGAAGTTGAGTTGACTAGATGCACCACTCTTTGTTTGTATGTACGACACTGCTCCACCAGATCGACCATCACCTCCTGTTTAAGGTCCTGTAAAAATCCAAAAAATAAGGATGATCATCCTGAGAAAGTAAAAATAATGAAATTCAAAATCGCAATGTCCAATAACAATCCCGAAATTATTCTTCTTATTCTGTTATATTTTGCACTTGAAACAGATAGTTATCTTGCTCTGCAGCTAAATCGTGTTACCTCCTTGTTCCCCGGCTCTAATGCACTCAGCATTTCCGCAAGCACATCCATGAGACCTTTTGCATTTTGAATCTCCGACAAACTGAAAAGAATTTTGATATACAATAGAATAAACATTGAGAGGCAACAGAGAACATCTTAAATAAAGAAGCAAACAGACGCAAAATTAACACTTGGGGGCCCTAGCCTACACTCCTAATAAAACGTCCTACAAGAAAAAAATGAAATTCTATTACCACACATGTGTTTTACAAAAACTAAAGATAAGTTACTTAGTTGTAATTATTTTCTTGATTCTAATCACATCTCAACTTCGGTTTACCCTATAACTAAGCTTACAACTACGCTTGCTTTCTTCTAATACGTTTCTTTTAGTAAATAGTGGCTAAACTTATCTTAATTTTTTTTTGTCAGATAACTCCAGGGCGTTGGAACTGGCCTAATAAAATCTTCCATCGATTTGTTAAAAACTCGCCAGAGTTGCAAAAGAAGATGCTTACCTCAGTGTCGGAAAGTCTGGCTCTGCCGAAGCTTCAGGCATATCATTACTAGGTCCAGCATTACGAAGATTTGGAGGGTAAGACGTCAAAGGCTGAGTTTGTGGAGGTGTGAACACAGGTGCTGATCTCTCTGATCTCTGAGGGAATACAGCCCCAGCACGCTGCAAGAGACAGGAGTAAACACTTGTGGTTAGGAGTTAGGACTTAGGACAGAGTAGTGGACGAATTTATCATAACTCACAAAAATGGTCTAAAAGGAATTCAGTATGAGACATATTAAGCGTCAATATGCATTATATGGACATCCAGAAACAGAAGTAACACTTTGCTGAATGATATATATGTCGAACAATTTCAGTAGACCTACCAACAATTCCTGGTATCCTGCGTAGTATTGTGGATATCTTGCCCTAGGGCCGCCAAAGGCCTCTTGCCATGTATCAATAAGTACTAAGATCTTCTCTTTGACATGGAAGTCCGGCTATATGTATCAATAGATACCTTGAATTAGAGAGAGATATAGAGTTAACTTTTTCACAAAGAAGACTCAGTTTGAAGAACATTTACCTTTTTCTTAACTATCCGGACCATCTCATGAATAACACCCTTCTCAGCCACATGCATATGAACCATGTCACCACAGTTCTTTACTATCGTCTCCAGCAGCTAAAACATAACAAATGCATGATAAGTGAATACTATAATTGTAAAACAAACGAGAGAGAGAGAGAGAAAATGACGTGACAGTATATCATTAATGGTAGGCAACTTGGAAGTCGCAACACTGCACACTAGAACAAAAAGGTGTGCTTTTAAAATGAAACTCATCATGAACATGCAATCTCTACGCATGAATCTCTCAGACCTTTAGGCTATCTGTGGTGTTAACTAAAACAAAGAGGCTATCTAAATGCAGAGTTAGTAACGCAAAAAAAAAAAAAAAAAAGTTTTATCTCGATTAAGTAAACATAGAGGAAAACAAAAAGGAGACAGATATCTGGAAACTTACAGTTAAGGCAAGAAGTTGAGTTTTAGGATTCCTGCTACCAATCCGTTTTCTGACTCCTTTCACAACATCTTTTGCTTGCCTGCAAAAACATCAACCAATTTCATACATTACTATATCCTTCTTGCAATCAAAAAGCATACATAATGAAGAAGAAGAAGAAAAAAAGAGTTCCCACTTCCCAGCTTTTACAATAAGACTCTATAGGTGATGAATTATTCAGAGCATGATTAACCTGAGAGTTCTTAGAATAGAGTTCTTAGCGGAAGTTAAGAAACTGTTTCTTTAATAAGGACTTTAAGAACCGGTTCTTAGCTATTTTTTAGTTAAAAGTTAAGAAACATTTTCTTAACTTCCGCTAATAACTCCATCCTAAGAACCCCGAGTTTAATCATGGTCTTAGAGTCCATGAGAGAAATTGCAAATTTAATCAACGGTGAACTCAGAGAGAACAAACACTAACCACAATAGAGTTCAAACTCAAAAAAAATAGAACTGAAGATTTAGTTACGAGCACTGAAGCCTTATATGCGCACATTAACAGCTAATCAAATCATCTGTTTTTTTTTTATTCTTAAAGCTAATTCTCTGCCTTAACTGCTTCTCCGTAACTATATTAACTGCTTCTCCGTAACTATCAAATTCGAATTTTCTATCTTAAGTGTCTCAACTACCAAAACAATCACAGATTCAAATCCATATAAAACAGTTCCAATATCTTCCAGGAGACTTAATCTGAGAACTCTATACAACACAATTAGGTGGAGAAACCTAAGGAAAAATCATAATCCGAGAGCATACGCGGGATCGCTGTTGAGCATGTCGCAGATCTCGAGGTTCATAGCCCAATCAGGACCGATCAGCATCTCGCTCGTGGCTCTCTCAACCATAGCGTTCACCATCTTCTCCTGCTTTTTTGACCTCAAAAATCTCCAACGAGAGGAGAAGAGAAGGAGACGGATTCACAGCAGAGACGTGAGAGAAGATCACGCGAAGAGATTACTCCGGCGAAGAATCTCTCTCTCTCAGGATTTCACGCCTCTCTCTCTCTCTTTCTCGAATTATTATTTTTTAATTTTTCGGAAAATGTTTTTCTTTTATGTTTTCTATTTTTTTTCACGAATTAGCCCGAAAAGGAAAAAGAATAATGGTTAGGTCTGCTACTCATCGGACCGTTGGTTTGGCCGTCCAATTGAATCCGACGGTCACTTTATCAGAACAGTCAATGTTAGTTATTTTTTACCTTTTTTGGAGTTAAAAATAAATGTTTTCAAATCCAATTATTCTCAAGTGGATATTAGAAAGCAATGAAACAAACTACTTTTGGAACTAAAAAAGGATGAATTCATATCTTAGAGAGTTGATTGGGTGTTTAGAGCACTTTGTATATGTATAGTGGAACTGTTAAATAATACTTTTGATTTTTAAATTATAAGTGATAAATAATTAATTAAGACTCTACATTATCATTTTTTAAAAAGTTAATGATTGTTAATGCAGCTTCATAGTGGATTCATAAGGATTCTAAAGCTTAAGCAGTGTTTATCTTACTAGAAGCTAGTGGACTACTTTATTTATTAACACATGATGCCATGAGAAAACCAACTTTTTGAAACAATTATGTTTAATTAATATGCAATAATTTGCCTTCTCCTATTTCTCTATTTTTTAACATTTTCATATTCATAAATTAATTTCTTTTACATTTTTTGTAATTATCCCATATATATCCAGAAGATGAATCAGAGCAGTAGGAGTGTTGAGGTTGTAGATATACATACAGTGGATCATCAAGATTAGGTTTAGTTATGTCTTTTGGTCATTCCACTTACTCTGGTTACATTACCTAAACCATTTTAATGGTATAGTAACCTTCATATATTTTTTTTTTGAAAATAAAAAGGTCAAACCCAGGTCTATTAAAGACACATATTCGTGTGGTCAGTGGGGTTTGGACTCGGGTTCATCTTATTGGGTTTATTCTTTCAAACGCCACTGGACTACCGCCATTGGTTAACCTTCATATATTCACATTAAAGCAAGCCAAAGTATGAGGAGACAGAGAGCTCTAAACTATATGAACTAACCTTTTATTTGTCTCTAAAAGTTAATTTATTGAGAACAAGTATGTAATCAAATGTATCATATGTCCAGAGTTGAAAGATCTACACATTACAAAAAATAAAAATTACACAAAGAAGAGATGGAAGTAAGGGGAAGACATACATATATTGGATGATCAAAAAAAATTGAAGGGGAGAATGAATGTCCCTTCAGAGCTCTCTATCAACAAACACAGCCTTTGCCTTTTTCTATCTGCAACTCTTCAGAAGGTAAGATGATGGACTCGAGTATCCACCTGGAGAAGCCGAGGAAACTTTTGCTTTCCCCGGTGTCCCACAATCACTGAAGTCCAAGGCGCGACACTCCACCTTCATTTCAACATATAATTGGTTCTGAGTTACTCAACTTATTAACTCAAACTCAAGCTGCTAAACCTCTTATCTCAACCAGTTCAAGATTCAGTTCTCAACATTAAGTTAGACCAAGAATAGAAGAAAGACTTGATAAAGTTTCCTTGTAAGTTGTAACTAAGCCTAGTGGTTGAACAACATATTCTACAAGTTCATGAGAGCTAAAGGGTTTTGCCTAAGGTCTTGGTTTGTGAAATGGTTTCATAACTTACTAAGAATTTGTAAGGATATATTATGTTGTGACAGTTGAAGCTGTTACCTGGGAACGGTTTTCCAGTTGATCGTGAGACCAGAGCTGATTTTCTTTCCCTTGAATAGATTTGTTCATCTGTCTCTTCTTGAGTATCGTTTCAGGTGTGTCATTACCTAAAACTTCCAAAGCATCTGCATATGCCGTAGCTGTGTGTTCACTTAAATGTTTCATCAGTCCTATGGCATCATAGCTTCTATCTCCGGGACTCATAAAGCACCCAATATCCTGGAATTAAAAGAAATAACAACAAATCAGTATAAGTATCCAAAAACTGGTTTCATTCATAGCTATTCCATCTCTCATTACCTCAAATGTAATTTCTGGAGGTAACTTTGGGCTTTGCAAGAAAGAACCAAAGAGTAAAGGGGATTTCCATGGGGATGGGGTATCAAGGAGTTTCTTGAACGGAGTTCCATCAAATCTAGAAACAGTGAAACCAGGACAACTTAGCAATAATACTTCAAGCAAATAATATAAATCTATAGAACAATCAGGTATCAAACAGATAGAGAGAGGAAAGATGGAACTTACATGCTACAGTTTTCAATAATATCAAAACTATTCTCTGCAGTGTTGGTTCTATTTCCTGCGATTGTTGATAAAGGGATAGAGTCTACAGTGAATGGAGCTTCTGACGAGATATCTCCAGTTTGAAAAGTATCTAATGACTTCTCGTGTTTGTTATCTGGTCTCGATCCAGTTTTATCAGGAGAATTCAGTTGCATCTCAACATCATTACAGTAAACCAAACTTCTACGAGTTTCTTGGTCCTGGTGAAGAGGTAAACAACACATTTAGAGATTAAAAAGCTTCTAAAGTTAAGTTATTGGAAACTTGCACCAGTGATATGACAATGCTCCTTGACAAAGACAGCTCATATAACTAGATGCAATGTTCTTGAACAAACTAGAATGTAGAGTAGTTCTAACAAGAAGAGATTTCAATGAACTAGATTGATGCGTTTAGCAACGAGAAGTTCACTAGTAGATTCAACACATGTATACCAAACAGTGCACGCTATAGTATGAAGAGTAAAAGAGACGGACTTACAATTTTAGCTGAAGTCACTCCTCCTGGCTCCAAGGTTTCCTTTGGATCCTTGTTAGGTTCGGAAGATGAGACATATTCAATTTTATCATGAAGCATAACATCTAAGCGTGAAAAATCTTTAGCCAAGGAGGAAGCCTCAGCACTTTTCAGCAATTTTTCTTTTCTCCTATCAAGCACAGGTGACATCAACTCCCAATGCCGCTTCTTCAAGATGGATGGTGTACCGCTGAAACTTTTGGCAGCATCTTTAAGCTTGACATCAGGGCTCTTATTCTGACTAGGTGAATCCCATAGCCTCAACGGAGTTGTACAATTCATCATCAACTGGCGGATACCAAAGGGACTGTACTCTTGCCTTAAGTCACTATTTGATGGTACAAGATCACAGCTGAAGAAAGGAATATCTGCACTTGGGAACCGTGGAGGTTCATAGCAAAGAGATCCTTTATCTTTTTCAGCTGGCTTAACGTCAACAGGAAAATGAATCTTATTCACTCTAGAAGGAGAAGTAAAATTATTCAGATGGACTAGCTTCAAAGAATCCTTGGGAATATATGGCAGCTCCTGCTGTTCTTGGATACCATCATTATGATCATTGCCATGGGAAGTTACATGTCCACTAGTGTCGATGAAACCATCATTTGAATCCACTTTAAGTTCTAATGCAGTGGCTTTAAGAAGGTGACAATCTTCAGTTTCCGAAGCTGGAATAGATCCTTTGCCCTTTTGAGGGTCGACCAAGTTCTGAACTTGCTCACCAGAAGATATACCATTATCTTCTGTAGGAAAAAGAACCCTACAGCACTCCTCGTCCGTGATCAAAGTTTGAGGTTGTGGATGCATACCTGTGTCCGAGTTTGGCATAGAAGGTTGATCACCTAATCTAACTGAATTTTGAAATGCTTGGCATGCTTCATTTTTTTCAACTCCCTCCATGTTATGAGTCAATAACTGAGGACAGTCTAGATCAAGGTCCTGTTTATCATTATTAGATACACCCTGCAAGTGATCCTCTGTAGCTGTGGTAGTTCTAACCTCGGTCAACTCATTATGATACTCCTTTGAGGATTCTGCTTCACAAGAAATTTCAGGGACAACAATTTTGACATCTTCAAAAGAAGGGTACTGCGATTCTGCATGAGATGGAGAGTTTGAGATTTGCTTCTCTGTTCCTGAAGGCAACTCAGGAATGTAGAATTCCTCTTTTGCAGGTTTAACCTCGTCTAGCAAATCATTGGTCGACTGTGAACAACTGAAAACAGTTGAAGCCTGGCTGCATTCTGATTCTTCAGCATCAGCTCCTTGCCTGAAATTACCTTCATCTCCACTGCTGTGCATCCTCGAGGAAGATGAAGCTATGGAATTGTTCTGGAGGGAAATGACTGGCGAGCTTTGACTCTGATCTAAAAGACCTGATGCGTAGTAGGAATCCAGTTTCTTCTTAACTGCGCTGTTCCAGTGATTTTTTATTGAATTGTCTGACCTATGGAACATAAGAACAAATAAGAAAATAACCAAAGAAGGATAGGAATAAGCATAAGAAACCACCAAATTTTCAGACACAGGTTACACAGATGGAGAAGACATATTACCTTCCTGGCAAAAATTTAGTTAGCTCTGCCCATTTATTCCCATAAATTTGATGTGCACGAATTAGAGTAAGTTCCTCTTCCTGGGTCCATGCATTTTTATTAATGCCAGGGTTAAGATGGTTATGCCACCTACAATTATCAGCCACAGTATTGTTCATGTGTATCTTCTAAGCACCATAAGTGTAATTAAACATTTTCTTGCAAAAGAAGTGGAGATTATGAGTATACCTTTCCCTACATTGCTTTCCTATGCGCCCAGGTAATTGCTGAGAAATAGTAGACCATTTCGTTGGCCCATATTTTTCTACCAGAGCAATTATTGTGTCATCCTCCTTTGAAAACATGGAAAAATAAAATGTCATGAAACACATTCCAGATATTAACATGCAGACCCTGAAACTACCACCACACGGAGAAAAGTTGAGTAAAGCATATATAACGCAATTCACCACATTTAGAAAATCACCTCTTTTGACCACGGCCCTTTCACAAGCTCTGGGTTCAGGACTTTTTGCCATCTATGAAGACACTGGACATCAGTCCGATCTTTAAAACATTCAGCTGAAAAGGTGAACCAAATAAAAATTACACATAGCTTCAACACCTTAATCAAAGATTACAAATAAACACGGCAGCTAAACACTGATATGATCTTTAAGTTCCTTGGAAAACGAAACTAGGACAAGAAGGAATCAGAATTTGCTAACTTGACTTACCAATCTTCTTCCAGTTCTTTCCTTGAAAACGCTCGACAGCTTTGCACAAGACTTCGTCCTGGTCCAGGAAAACAGGATTCATCTTATAGAAAAGTTCAAAGAGAAAAATGTTGCAAAGGATAGATAATGCCAACAGGTTTAAATGAACTGTACAAAGGCAACAACTGGGTGTGATACAACCAAATAATTACACGCTTAGATAATATGCCAGGATACATCCACAACAAATGGAGAATGCAAGAATCAGATAGACACAGGAAACTCACCTCTTCAGCCGTCCATTGTCCTTTGGTAGATCGTCTTGCCGGTCCACATGTCCTCCTATTAAACCGTTTCAACACATCATAACTTGCAACATTAACCTGAGAATGTCTTATTGAATTGCAAAATCTGATGCTAACAGAATCAATTTAACTTCAACACCAACAGAAGCAAAAAAAAAAAGTGAGAAACTTGAAGCATACCCATGACTCCCTTTCTTGTTTCCTTCTTGTGTAACATTGGGTGCTTTCATCTCACTCTTCATACTAAGTAACAAAAACACAACATACCCCAAAGCTAGTGTCTTAATGTGTCTTTCACATATTGTAACAAGCCTATAGCACAAAACAAAAAAAAAGCAAAAACCATAAAGTTAAAACACAGATACAATACTTAGTGAAAGTGTAATAAATTCAACAAATTCAAATTAAAGAATAATGCAGAAATTAACTTCAGGTGAGATTAAAAACAGCAAAGCTTGGAACTTTATTTAAACAAAACGTAAGAGAAGTTTGAAAAGAGTTTGATTTTGATCTTCAGAGACCTTTAAGAAGACGGAGACACTACGGTGGTCATCTGAATCAATCTCAGAAGCAGATCCACTGAATCCAGAAAATAATCAAAGACAAAGAAGAAGAACACAAATCGATATAAAGAGGAGAGAGAGAGAGAAAGCTTTGTAATGAATCAAACAGGGAGAGGCGAAATTTTGAAAATGAGATCGATCAGAAGAGGAAGATGATCTGAGCCGTTGATTTTTCAAGGTGTGAATCTAATAGTTTCCCATTAAAGTTACCACGCCTATATTATTATTTTTGCATTTTGTTCCTCTGTCCTCTCGTTTCAAAATGTAAAAGAACCCTAACAAACTATATGTGGACAAAGTCAAACCAAATTATACTCCTTAACTTTTCATTATTAAGTAAAAAAGTTTGAGACATATTTTTCTGGAATGGAAAAAATCAAACTGAACAAAAAAAAAACAAAATTTGGTTTGGGTTTAGATACTAAAATAGATAATTTACAACAACAATAAAATTTGCTCGAATAGATCATATATCTCTAAAATCGAAAAAATCAAAACTGAGCCGAAACCGAACCAAAAATAAAAAACATATCTGAATTTCTATAATATGGTTTATATACTTATAAATATTACATATATTTAGTTTTAAATAATTATTTAATTTACAAATATCATTATAAACCAAAATAATAAAAAATAATAATTACCACATATTTTTTCCAAACTAATCCAAATTATCCAAAATTTTATTTGAAAACCAGAATTTAATATTAATCCAAAAAATCTTGAATTTCTGAATTTTTAGAGAATTAACCGAGAATCCAAACCGAATAAAATCCGAAAATATTATGGATATTAACTGATCCAATACCAAACAGAAATAACCAAAACCAAAATCAAACCAAATTTTCTAAATACCTAACATATCCTAAACTTCTACAATCGAATGTCCATAGATACACTAAGTAATCAGTCAGATGATAGAAGTATTAGATGTTGGAATACATTCAGTAATTACTGATAGTTTTAGATTCTTCCTTTCCCAAAATAACAAAACTTGCAAATAGCAACTTGTAAAAACTTCCTTGCTGATTTCTAGTTAAAGCATCACAACAAGTCACACAAGTAGATAATATAAAGGTTCCTTAGACTGTGAGGTTATACGTAGATAAAGTCACAACTAGAAATACATTAAAAGCACAAGTAACAAGAGTCACGAGCTATAAAAAGAGACAAGAGTAGAGAGTAGTGTGTCATCATCATGCTTCCACCTTCTGAGATTTGTTCCAGCGACCACCTGGAGAATCAGATCCCCTCTTTCTCCCAAATCTCCCTCCTCGTCTTCCTCCCCTGCATAGACCAAACCCAAGTTATAACCAAATGACAACGACTTAAAGAAACCAAGCCAAGACCAAACTTAACACAACAGCTTGGACCTAAGTTTATTCAAATACCAAAACTAGTACTCACCTTCCTCCACGGCCACCTTTGTCAAAACGATCTTTGCTGCGAAGATGACCCCAGTACTCCTTCTCAGCTTCGCCTAACACACCACATTATACACATTTAACTCAACCAGAACAAGTATAGTTAAAGATAAGATAAAAGTAAAAACAAAATGTTTTTTTACCAGTAAGTGGTTCTAGGACAGCTATAAAGTTCTTCACAGCTAGTCCACCTTCTTTAGCTAGCACTGCTGCTGCACGAGCCTTCTGGGACGCTTCTGGTTCATCAAACCTAAGGTAACCCGTCTCAGCTCCCATTCTGAAATCCACAAACTATTTTCAAAAGTGAAAAAAAGAAAAAAACAGTGAGTAATAAAACTAACAATATAAAATGGAATGTAACAGAGGATGTTATATGTACCTTGACATCACCAAATTTTCCAAAAACGGCCTTGAGATCTTCACGTAAGACAACGTCTTTATTATCTTTATGGGTAGCTAGAGCACCACCCTTCTCTTCTCTCTCACCCTCGTCATCATCTTCACCCTCTGTTCCTTGGCCTTGAACCTGGTCAGTGTTTTCTTTATCCGCATCAGGATTATCTGCTGGCTTTGATTCATTTTCATCCATTGTCTTATCAGTTGCCTCCTCGGAACTCTTTTGTTCCGTGGTGGAATCTTCAGCTGAGCGCTTTAGAGTGAATGAAATGATCAAACCCTTGGGATAACTACAATATTACAAAACAGTCATAGTTAGTTCAGAACATTGATAAGAACAAAATTAATAGAAGTAGTTGAACTCATACTCTGCCTCATGCTCAGAACCGTTCTTATGATCAGAAACATTCTTCTGATTAGCAGAGCCCTTTTGAGAACGGTAATTAGCAAACTTTTCTTCATCTTTCTCCCTATCTTCATCAAACTCTTTCCTGAAAAAATATATATTCTCTTTTAAAGTAACGCATCCAAACAACTAATAGAAAAACATAATGAAGTAAAATTACTTTGGTTTCATCTCCAAGTCGAGACCAGCAAAGACCAAGTTTTGTTTCATAACATTTTGTGCTTCCTCTTCTGTAGGGAACTCAACCAAGGCAACGCCACAAAACACTCTCGTCTCCGCTACATGACGTGGCATCCTCACACTATTAACCTGAAAGGATAACACATAGTACATAATTACATATATCACACACTTGTATAAATCTAGCTATTACTTCTTTTCTCCAGATTTAAAACAAAAAAAACTAACGAAACAGTTATATATCAATGGTTAGTGGATTTTACCTTTCCATACTGACTGAAAAAGGCTTCGACATCTTCTCTTTTAACATCATAAGAGAACGGTGAAGCAGCTACAGTTCTAGCATTAAGCTGTTCAATCAAATCCTCTAGCTTCAACAACTCTGTACTCCTCCCAACTCTTTGCCCTGTGTAAGCAATACCATAAACAAAAGTCATCAATAATCTGTAAAAATTAATGTTCAATAAATCTCTACACCGTAGTTAAGCTCTCTATATGAGATTATTGATTAAGCAGGTGTCTAGACCAATTTTTTAGAACACCTAAACAATTTTTATCCAGAAAAACTTACTCAATTTTTCCAGAAAAAAATTCTAGACCAATTTTCTGGAAAAAAAAATTGTTTTGTTTAGGTCTGATTTGCCACCTAGGCCGATTTTTAGAACACTTTACTATACATTGAAACTCTATAACACTAAGATTATAGTATACCCGGTTTGAATCAGTAGTCCTAATCTTACTAAATTGAAATTTTTGAATCTGTAAAGAGTTAGAACACCTAAGTGGGTGTCTAGACCATTTTTTTTAGAACACCTAAACATTTTTGTTTAGGTCTGATTTGCCGCCTAGACCGATTTTTAGAACACTTTACCTATACTTTGAAACTCTTTAACACTAAGATTATAGTATACCCGGTCTGAATCAGTAGTCCTAAGCTTACTAAATTGAAAATTTTGAATCTGTAAAGAGTTAGAACACCTAAGTGGGTGTCCAGACCAATTTTTTAGAGCACCTAAACAATTTTGTTTAGGTCTGATTTGCCGCGTAGACCGATTTTTAGAACACTTAACCTATACTTTGAAACTCTTAACTCTAAGATTATACACCATTTGAATCAGTAGTCCTAAGCTAACTCAACTGAAATTTTGAATCTATAAAGAGTTTTGAAAACTCACCATCATCTGAAACCTTGAGAGCAGAGGAGGTTCGGAGAGTATCAGCAACAGCTTTGATGGTATCTTCAGGAACATCATCTCCTTTAGAATCACCCAACTTCAAATAGCCTCTCATCTTACTAAACGAACATATCAACCCCAAACTAACCACTGTTCCAACCCAAAAAAAACAAAACATCAATAAGACAATAACAAACAAAAAAACACAACAAAGAGATTGAATTGGTCGGAAAACTTACATCCATCTTCACTCTGTGTAACTGTCTTTTTGAGGAAATCATCAATGGGGAGATTACTATCACTGAAGTAGAACTCCACCTAATAAACAAATCAATACCAATTATCATCAATTGAATTAAATTAAAAATATACGACTGGTGAAGCTAGAGAGAGATTAGAGAAAAAGAACCTGTCGGAGAACCAGTTTTGCTGTCTCTTCGGTTAGACAAGGAGTCGACATGTTTTGTTCCGAGAGGAGAAGGTGGAGGAGAGATTGAGGAAGAGAGAGAGGTACTAGGTTTAGGGTTTAGTAGTGAGAGACACCTTTCATCTTCGTCTGTATTTTTGGAGCTATTTTTGCAAATATATCTATTTTTGTTTTCGACTTTGATCCTTAATTCAATTTTTATATTGCATTAGACCCTATACTCGTGGACTGGACGTTTTTATCCGTTAAATTTGATTTAATTCGTTATTTGTTTCTATTAAATCAGAAAAAATTGAATATACGTAGGTCGTGAGACATAGCAAATATTAAAAGTTAATATCCCTATAGAAACAAAACAAACCACTAATATTTTTTAAAAACAAATAAAAGTTAGATATCCGATCCGCTCCCACATTATACAAATAGATATAGTTTGTATGTATAATTTTGTATAATAATTATTTTAAAATATCATTTTACTAATTTTATTTTAAATTTACTTGTAAAAATATTTATAAAAACTACAAGTTTCTAAAATTTTATGTTTTATAAGAAAGTTTGATTAGTTTTAAAAATTTATGAAACATACAGTTTAACTAATTTTAATTTTTATATTATGTAAAAATATATTTTTGAACACAAATTTGTATATTTTTTTAGATTTACTTGTATTAAACAAAGTTACTATGTTATTCGATATTTATAAGAAATCAGAAAATATAATATTCATAAAATATGAAAAAGTCAGAAATACCAAAAGTTACTATGTTATTCGCTCCGTACCCTACCCTATAGTACTTTAGTATAGTATCTATCTGATTGAAAGAATAAATATTTGTTGTGGTGTCTTTTTGACAACGTTTTTTTCTCCTACTGGGGTTGGATTTAATATTTAGGGATTGTTTGTAGGATTTGAGTTTTATACTATTTATGGATATATAATACATTCTTTATTGACAAGGCGTATATTTCCATTCTTTAAAATATTATAATTTATATTTGGGTTTAGGGTTCAGTGATTGGGATTGAGGATTTAGTATTTAAGAATTTAGGGTTAGAGTAATGTTAGAATTGTGAGTAGATTGAGATTTCTATACTACATAAATGATATGGTCTATATAGTATGGTAAATAAATATATGGTGTTGGTGGTATTACGTGGTGTAATAATTATTAGTGGTGTTTTATAATTAATCATGTCTGCTAATTGTTTTTCACCGACTATTTATAAGAGATGAGGGTATATTCAGCTAAAAAGAAGGTAAAACGTTAGTTTGATAATTATGTCAACATATCATAAACATTTAATTAATTTCCATTCTAAATTGGTTAGTCAGCAAATAAGCCCTTTTTAATATGATCAATTTGACAATTTACATGTTACCAAGACATTGCCCCTACAATGCTATACATGGTGCTATATATCAATACATGTACAAGTGTCTCGTAAATTATTAATATTTTTGTTACTATTGTTGGCATTGTTTTCAACATTACTATTATTGTCAGGTGTCAACGATCAAATAAAAACAAAGAAAAACTACATCAAGATTTGACTTTTGAGAATATCAGTATTTCAACTCCGATACTTCAAATACGTTTATGTACTAAAAAGAACATTATCCTCTAGCTGTATTGTAGTCATCGATTATATCATTACACACCCTTGTCACATTAAACACAAACATGAGACGTGAACAGAGGTGAAATTTTAGAAAATGTTCCAAAATCTGAGAGCTTCCATAATGCTAACATAGCATCAATCAAACTTTGATTAGATGGTAATGTTGTAGTGCTTCAGGTTTAGTAAAAGTAACAACACTCAGGGCCGGACCTGGTCCAAGTCGAATGAAATATTCGCCTAGGGACGCCAAATTATTTAGAAAAAGTTATATGTAGATAGCCTCCAAAAAAAAATTTTAGGCCCCCAAATCCGACAAAAAAAATTAGTTGAAATCGTTAAAATATCACTTTAGGCCCCCGAAATTTCAGGGCCGCCCCTGACAACACTCAACAAGACGGGTTGGATTTGACATGATTAAATTTTTGCCTATTTATTTTTTCATATATTTTTTAATGCAACTAATTAAAATTAATTTGTTCACTAAGATATTTTATACAATATGGAGAAACAATCTTCATGTTCGCTTCTAGCCATTAGTGGCATCTATTCATACACATGACACACTGATAGCATTTGTATGTTGCTTTTGTTCTCACCCGGCGATGAACACACAACATAACCTTTCTACTCTCTCCGGTCATAGTTAACACTTTCACTATTTATTGAAACTTTACTTGTCATTTGTCAACACGATTACTGTGACAAAAACATAAAACATAAGTATTATGTATTTAAAAATATATAGTGTATCTTATTTAATACTTCTTCCGTTTCAATTTAATTATCATTCTAGAGTTTTGCACACAGATTAAGAAAACAATTAATTTTACATATTTTCAAAATAAAAACACAATTACCTATACACGTAACCACTTTTCAACCAATGAAAAAATAGAATAACATTTAAAATCAATAAATTTTGCATTGAAATTATAAAACGACACTTATTTTGAAACGAAAATTTTACTCTAAAATGACATATAATTTGAAATAGAGGGAGTTGGTAGCCTGGTCACAAGGTCCTCGATGAAGGCAATAATAACTGTTACAGTCCCGTCTCTAGCTCCAAACTCTCGTAGGTTCCCCGTTATTTTCACCCCGAGAGAAAATGGCAGTACAGAAAGAAAAAGCCGATAATTGCCGACCAATCGGCTAGGTTACTTTGGCTTGCTGTGATATTCGCACACTTTTCCACCACTATAGCCATCCCCAACTGAACCAAGGGTCGTATGTAGGCTGGTGTCCTACTTAGACGTTTCTTTTCTTTTCTACTTCAACTAAAATTAATTTGTTCACTAAGATATTTTATGAAACATGGAGAAACAGTCTTCACGTTCGCTTCTAGCCATTAGTCGCATCTATTCATACGCACAGGACTGTCTCAAATAAATTTTAGACCCTATTCAAAAAAAATTAACGATATATTATGATTTAATGAAAAAGATTAAAAGTTAATAACTATTTTGATGTTTCTTTAAATATTATAAGTTATAATCTAATATATATATTTTTTACAAAAAATTATCATAATTTATCTATATATTTCTTTAAAAAACTTAATTTTCCATATTTTTTCCTTACTTTTTTATTTTTATATTTGGGGCATGTTCAACTGTTCCACTTGTATATACTATTAGACGGCCATGCATACGCATGACACACTGATAGCATTTGTATGTTGCTTTTGTTCTCACCCGGCGATGAACACACAACATAGCCTCTCTAGTCTCTCCAGTCATAGTTAAGAGCATCCACAACGGCAAATCCTTAAGGGGAGTCCTTAGGAAAATATTAATTTTATAATCAGTAGGTCCCATGAACAGTTAAGGATTCTATCCTTAAAATCCTTATTTAAGGATTGATCCTTACATTACTCGCGGGCTCCACTGCTCACGTGGCCGCCTGCGAATGATCAGTTTTTTTTTTGAAATAAAAAATCCGAAATATCCTTATATAATCTGAAATACCTTTTTCTTTTTTCCTTAAGGACTCCCCTTAAGGACTTCTGAAATATCCTTATTGAAATTTTACCTGTTATTTGTACACACGTGATAGGTGGTTCGGTCATATAACTATAACCTGTTTATTCACGATTACTATGACAAAAAACCTAAAACATAAGTATTAAAAAGTACTGTTGCTTTCCAATTGTTGAAAGCTTATGACCCTGCTGCTGCTTTCCTTTTCCCTCCCATAAACCCATTTCTGCCTTCCTACGGTGATGATGATGATGATACTGATCATGATGATCATGCTGAAGATGGCGCTGATGATACTGATCATGATGATCATGCTGAAGATGGTGCTGATGACAATATGGATATTGATGACGATGGTGCTGTCCTGCTTGCCAACAACAATGGATTGAAACTATTGTTCCTCATAACAGCTGAGTTTCCAACTCTAAAGGTCATTACATATCTCAACGTTGAACATGAATTGAAAAATGCAGCAATGGCGTCATGTTATCTTGAATCACTTAACTATGTTCTAGCCTCCACCGTTTTCCAAGGGGTGAGATCAAAGCTAGATACCGAAGTTTCTCTCTCCGGCAGAAACTGTCTGTTAATTGAGATCAGTGGTTTTCTTGAACACTTCATCTCCTTCGTATCAACAATATGGGATATATTTAGGGCATTCTCTTGCCCATCAGCTGATCTTTTCTTGTTGTGCAAACAACGTGCATCATTAAATCTAAGAACCAAGCTTACAGAACCGGCGTCCCTGACCAATTTCATCTTGGCTGAACACACTTGCAAATCAATTTATGCGGTAGATACGATGCTTGAAGAACTAAATTCACTTGTTTTTGATGATTTTAGTCAATTCATGTCTAGTATCGGTACTAAGCTGTCTGTTGAGGGTCTCCTCTGTGGAGACCTCTCAAGAGAAGAAGCTGATGAAGTCTGTGAGATGATTTCTGTTATTGAAACATCACCTCTGATAGCTTCTAAAGATGGTAGACGTGATGATATACCTTTACCCGATCATGATATGAATGTTTGTGCTAGGAAAATATCCGACACCAATTTTGTTGCGAATGTATGTTATCAAATTGGAGAGAAACGACATATTGCAATGGATACTGCACTTTTACGTTTGTTCTCTTCTTTTATAGAAAACGACATCGTTTTAAAGCTAAGGTATCAAAAGAATCTTGGTTATGCAGTTTCTGCTCAAACTGATGACGAGGGCAAGATAATTTATTCCTTCTGCGTAGTGTCCTGTGATTACAACCATGAGGTTCTGTTGGCGAATATAGAAGAGTATGTGAGGAGCGTACGTCTCTTTTTGGAAAGTGTCGACTCTTCTGTTTTTGAAAAACACAAGGCAGGCATCCAATTTTTTGGAGAAGTGGAATCTTTGTGGGAACAGCTTTCTGAGGAGGATAGATCCGATGATTTCGAGATGTCTGTTAAAAATTGCATGAAAGATATAAGTAAGGACGATGTGATCAAATTCTACACGAAATGGTTCCTACCACCAGCTCGCCCATTTGCTATATGCATCTGGGGCTGCCAATTCCGTGAGGAGTATTGGAATTCGAAGTAGACATAAGCTTTGAGTCTTGGAGCTTGTGTATGATGGGAGGTTGAAGCATTTCTTTGTGTTCTTGCAAGTGTCCTTGTTTTTTCAGACCTATGACAAAGGCTGAGACATTAAGTCTTTATCCCTAAAAGCTAGTCTTTCTTCTTGTGATGGAGTTTAGTCCCTGCAATGTTTAAAGAGAGACAAAGGGTTAATGATATATTTTCGGTTTGCCTTCAAGTGCCTATCTTGATATAAAAAAAAAAGTATTAAAAAGTACATAATGTATCTTATTTAATAGTATATATTTACTATTGTTGGCATTATTTTCAACATTACTATTTTTGTCAGATGACATCGTTCTAATAAAGCAATAAACTACGTCAAGATTTGACTTTGAGAATCTCAATACTTTAAATACTAATTTTTCGTACGAAAAAGAACATTATCCTCTCTAGCTGTATTGTAGACCTCGAATATATCATACACCGTTTGTCGCATTAAATACACACATGACGCATATAAACGTAATTAAATAATCTAGGAAAAATGAGCAAAAAATGTTACAAAATCTTTGAGAGCTTTCCATAATGCTAACATAGCAGCGATCAATCAACTCTTAATTCCTTAAATGGTAATGTTGTAGTGTTTTAGGTTTAGCAATAGTAGTAACTGGTTACAAAAGTTTTTAAGCAAAAAAATACTGGTTACAAAAGTTATGTTCCCAAACATTATTAGGTAAAACAAAACTATATAAAGTCAACGCAACTCGCTCACCACCTTCTTGTAATCTAAAAGGTAACAAAGGAAACAATAATATAAATGACAAGATAGAGTGAGAGAGGAGGCCAAACCGAAGCGTGAAAGAGGGTTAAGAAGAAGGAGAAAAAGAATGTCGATGACGACTTCAGAGGCGAGATCGCCGGTACCGTTGTTGTTGAGAAGAGGAAGGTCTTCCACGGCGTTAGGGACGTCGGAAGATAGATCACCGTCGTCGCTACTGTTCAGAAGAAGGTCGAGCAAAGATGTGAGGAACATAACGTCAGTTTCTAGCAGTCTCTTGCCTGCGTTTGGGACAGTCATCGAAAACGATAATAACCCTTCTTCCAAACCTTTCATCGTTCTTCCTTATGATCGTCGTTACAGGTTTTTATTATTGCAACATTCTTCAAGTAACACGGTAACACTAATTATATATACCAATGAGACCTCATGTTGTAAACAAACCCTCATCAAACATAAAATGACTAAAATACGTAGAGAAAATACGATTAAAGCAAATATCTGTATAGAATTTGTATATTGGTTATATGAATTAGTAATTTACAATCCTTATATCCTCGTTTATATAACTTCTAGCTTTGATATTCATTTTTATTTTAAAAAAAAACATATTTATCTTTAAAAGAAAGATATTGTTTTTTTGAAAGAACGATTCTTGATCATAATTAAAGAGATCCCATAGCACCAACAATAGTAAGAACATCTTCAATGTAAAACTTATTTTTTTTTCTTCTAAAATTGCCTAAAAGTGATTATGGAGTAAAAATGTTTCAACCCTACTCTATTTCTAATTCCATAATGAAGTAGTGATCACAAAGAAAAAATAGATTATTGTATTTATGGTGTAAATCTCATTATGAAATAAGAAATATAGTAGGATTAGAACATTTTTTACTCCATAATCATTTTTCCTCTGTTTTAAAGTAAAAAATAGAATTGGGTAGTAGATGCCCCAATGGGTTAATCTGCATAACTTCTATGAATGTGTCATTTTACAGATATACGATATATAAATCACTTCCAAAATCAACATTTTGTATAAAGAAAATCATGTAAAAAAAAAAGAAATCATTTCACCAAAATAATAAATAGAATCGAGTAATATTTATATGAAAAATGGCAGGTTGTGGGAATTGCTTTTGGTGATTTTGGTGGGTTATTCAGCATGGGCATCTCTGTTCGAGTTAGCTTTCGAGAAAGCTGCTGATGGAGCTATTCCGACCATTGATCTCGTGGTTGACTTCTTCTTCGCCGTTGATATCATCCTCACTTTTTTCGTTGCCTACTTGGATACTTCTACTTACCTCATCGTCGACGACCACAAGCTCATCGCCAGACGGTAATAGTTACACCATTCAATAATATAATAAAATATTTAATGCGAAAGTATATAATATGTTGTCAGGTACTTGAAGAGTGTGGCCTTTGTGATGGACATCTTATCAACGTTACCGATTCAGTTCATTTATAAAGCGATAACTGGAAATATTGGACGTGGCCAAGCTTTCGCCTTCCTTAACTTGCTTCGCCTCTGGCGTCTCCGTCGTGTGGCTGAACTCTTTAAAAGGTTTCTTCTATCTGCATGTATATAAAAGGCTAGTAACCATGAAATGGATTTAGTGAAATAAAAATAGATGAAATAAGATGAATGAAAATATGTTTAAAAAGAAATATATTTTATTTCATTCACTTTTAATCAAAATAATAGAAAATGTTTAAAAATGTTATATATATATATATATATATATATATATATATTTAAAATTGTTGTGAAGTTGATAAAATGACTATTCCATTTTGTTCTATGTTAAATGGTAAAAAAATGGATATAATGTAATAATTTTGGGACAATTCTCTCAAATAGTCATCTTTTAAGTTTTTATCACAAAAATAGACCTCAAAAATCAAAATGACCAAAATAGCACTTTTTATTTTGAAAATTTTAAGTTTTTTTTCATTTTTTTAAATTCGAAACCCTATCTCCAAAACCCCAGTCCTCAACTCTAAACAAAAAAGCCTACGATTAGTTAACCCAAGAGATATAAATGTATATTTAATAAAACATTTAATTGTTATTTTGGTCATTTTAATTGTTAATGTCTATATTTGTGATAAAAACTTTTTAAGGTCTATTTTAGTCATTTTTTCATAATTTTTCCACATCATTTTATTTCATGACAATTCAGTTGCAGCCTTCTATATATAATTAAACTTTTGTGTATCCATATATGTATATGCTTTGACATTATACTGCACTATAAAGAGACCTGATCATATTCCAAAGTGTATCTCTCTCTCTTGTTACAGACTAGAGAAGGACACACTTTTCAACTACTTCGTGGTCAGAGTCATTAAACTTCTTTGCGTAAGTTCCTGGAGACATCTGATCCATATACTTGTTATATAACTTGGTCGATCGAAGTTTTTTTTTTAAATAATTTAAATTTCAGGTGACAATATTTTGGGTACACATTGGGGGTTGCATTTTATTCTGGATAGCCTACCATTATCCAAGGCCTATAGATACATGGATAGGATCACAAGTTGAGGATTTCAAGGAGAGAAGCATATGGCTAGGCTACACTTACTCAATTTACTGGTCCATTGTCACACTCACCACCGTGGGATATGGCGATCTCCATGCAGTTAATACACGTGAGAAGACATTCAACATGTTCTACATGCTTTTCAACATTGGTCTCACCGCTTATCTCATTGGTAACATGACCAATCTTGTTGTCCATAGCGCTCTTCGTACATTCACCATGGTATCATACATCAACTCTTTCATTATTGATTTCTTTCCATTAAAAACACCAAACGTGTACACAACGTAACAAGCAATAACCTTCTTGTTGGATAGAGGAGTGGGATCAATCATATACTACGGTACACTAGAAAGAATAAGTTACCTGATATGATGAGAGAGCAGATGCTTGCACATATGCAGCTCAAGTTCAAGACTGCTGAGTTAAAGCAAGAAGAGGTTCTACAAGACTTACCTAAGGCCATAAGATCGAGCATTAATGAACATTTATTCCGCTCTGTGATCGAGAATGCTTATCTTTTTAAAGGATTCCCTGATGGCCTCATCATCCAGCTAGTAATCCATCAACAATTTCATTAATATTAGTTCACTATTGAAGAAGTCACTGATTAAATAATTGTTTATCATTTTTGTTGTAGGTTTCACATATAAAAGCAGAGTATTTTCCGCCAAAGATGGAGTTAATATTGCAGAATGAGATTCCAACGGATTTCTACATACTTGTATCTGGAGGAGTGGTATGTCTTCTACATACTCAATATATAATTCAATATATATAATTAGATTTCAGTTGATAAATATAAAAAAATTTAATCACAGGAGATAATTAGATCCAGGGGTGTGAGTGAACAGGTAATATCTACTAATCTACACCTTTAGTTTAATCAAAGTTTTTTATTTAAACAAATTTAATAGACTCAAAGATTGAACAAGAGACTTAAGTGTTATATATATGGTGATGAAGGTATTGGCTAAGTTAGGTCCAGGGGATATGGTAGGAGAGATTGGAGTTGTCTTTAACATTCCTCAGCCTTTCACTGTGAGGACAAGGAGACTTTCACAAGTTATTCGAATCAGTCATCATAAGTTTAAAGAAATGGTTCAATCTGATGTTGACGACGCCAAAATGATCATCACCAATTTCATGGCTGTAAATTCATCAAACTTTCTATTTATAGATTCACTGAACTTAAAAACTTAAAATACATCAACAACTATTGCTTTGTAACATTAGAAATGTTTTTTTTTTTCTTATTTTTCAGTATCTCAAGGGATTAAATGATGAGTTGAAGAAAGAAATCCCTTTTCTTAGAGATTTATTAGCTAATGAAGATGCTCAGGTACATTTTATCAAGCACATGTGTAAAATTCATAGTTTGCATTTTCCACTGCTTTTGAGATAAATCCATATTGTTTTGTAAAGGAAACGGTTCAGAGAGAAGAATTACAACAAGGTAACAATGAGGAGATAGTTACGGTCTCGAGAGATGGATATGAAAATAGTAAGAAGACAATTCTCTGTAGATATAGAACATGTTTTTTTTAGTTATATGTTTTAGATCAATTAGTATTTATAATATTAGTGTTTAGAAATAAATCAAAATGAAAATTTAAATGTAGAAGAAGAGCCAAAAAGAGAGGGAGTTTCCAAGAGAGTGATAATTCATGGGCATCCTCCTAATGAAGATAACAACAAGAATAGTGATTCCAATGGTAGACTTGTCATTTTGCCTGATTCTCTCCCACTTCTGTTCGACTTAGCTGGTCAGTTTCAGTCTTTCACTACTCATATGTTTTTTTATCTTTATATTTTTGGAGTGTAAGTTATATACTTCATCAATATATATGGTGAATGCAGAGAAGAAGTTGGGGAAACGGGGAAGCACGATTCTGATGGCAAATGGAGCACATGTTGAACAGCTTGATGCTCTACGAGAGAACGATCATTTATATATTTTCTAACTAAATTAATATATTACAGTTTAATATACATATTTGTTATCTTTCATATTATGGCCTTCCTTCTTCTTTTTGACGTGTTGAACTAATTCAAAATGGACAATAATAGTATAAAACAACAGTAAATAAACTATTGTTTCTTTGAAATATTTGTTTTGTCGTCAACAATCCATGAGTACTTGAACAAGTTCCGTCGATAAATAAAGCAATTTCAAGCAGCTCCGGCACTGCCTGTGATTAATTAGCACATGAAGCAAATAAAGTTTAAAGGAAAGAAAGAAAAAAATGGTATTCCTTTCTTATTTTTGACATGTTGAATTAATTCAAAAGATGAAAATATTAAAGAAAAAATAATTATAAAACTGCTATTTCCTTGAAATATTTGTTTTTGGTCGTCTACTACAATCCACTGTTGTTTCCTTGAAAAATATTTGTTTTCTTAAGCTAAGTTTTGTCTTATATCTTCATAATGATGCCTCAGACCCAACTCCTTGAGCAAATTGTGAGATATCCAGATGACTCCCCCACCTGTATTTAGCAAATAAAGTTCAAAGTAAAGAAAAAAAATTGGTTTCAGTTAAAAAGACCAAATTAAAAAAAAAAAAAAAAAAAAAAAAAAAAAA